TGATTGTTCACGAACATCCACGTTTCCTACAAGATGCTAAATGTCCTTAAACCAGTGCAGATGACTGTCCTTTAAATCTGTTTCCTCTTTTTTTTTTTATCAGATTGACATCCAACAGTCTTGAAACCAACATTTATTTCACCAGTTTATCTGGTAATTTGAGCTTTTCCACCATCTCTCCATCATTTATCCATCACTTTTTCACAGTTTTGTATTTTATATCTTGCTTTTTCACCTTCTCTGCTTGGTTACCAGCTTCTGACACAGATAACTGAAGATGATGACAGGATTTAAAACCACTGCAGAAATGTTGTTGTTGTCACTTGGTTAAGTTCAGGCATGAAGATACTTGGTTTGGTTTCAGGAAAAGACCTTGGCTTGGGCTAAAATAGACCCTTTCACAACATTACCTCCAGGTTAGAAGGCAAACTTCTTGCTACCTGAAGAACAACAACAGTGAGGAGAACATTTGGCTTTTAACATCTATTTGACATTCTTAGATTTTTATAGATCTATTGCTTTATCCTTTACATTCAAACATGGTGCTACACGGTACCAAGTGCGTTCAAAGGTGCCAATAAGTGGTTGTGAAAGAATGATAGTGTGTTATGAGTTTTAAGTGAGAGTATTTTTTCAAGTTGCACAAGCGCAAATGTGCACAGGACACACTGGAGTAGTGGGTCTGGATGGGTCTGAGCCTCCTTTATTTACAGAGTCACACCTACTGAAGGTTTTTTTTATTTTTATATTTTTTTAATGTTTTCATCATCTTTGCCTTGATGATGACGCCGGCTGTGAACACTCTTAGCAGCATCTTAACCAGCTTCATGACCTCACATTTTGTGGCTCCTTTGTCTCTTGTTGTGTCTTGTTTGTGATGTTTTGTATCTATTTTTTTCTTGTATTGTGTCTTATTTGTGTAGTTTTGTGTCGATTTGCCTCATTTTTTTGCGTTTCGTCTGTCTTTTTTTGTCTCATTTGCATCATTTTGTGTCTCGTTCGTGTCGTTTCGTGTCTCATTTTTCTTTTGTGTCTCATTTGGGACATTCAGTTCATGTCTTCTTGTAACGGTTTTGTCTGCTTTCTGTTGTTTTGTGTCTTGTTGTTATGCTGTATCTCATTTTTCTTGTTTTGGATTAATTTTTTGTTCAGCTCACCATGTTCTTTCAGCAGCCTGCTGTTAACAGTCATTTGTTTTTAGCTTCAAAACAGACTAAAATTTTACAGTTTTTAACTACATGTTGGAAAAATAGCACAATCCTCTTAGAATCTTGCTGCATTTTTATGGTAACTTTATGACAGTGTAGAACTTCAAAAGCTTCAAAAGTTTCTTCCAATAAATGCTGTGATGAAAACGAAGACCAAAGGTTGGTTTATTACGGTTACTAGCGTCAGAAATCACCAGTTAACAGCGCCTCAGATTTAGAGCCTGCATTAATACCTCCCAGGTTTCAAGCAACAGGCAGGTGTCGACATTTACTGTAAGGAAGAGCGAGTGTAAATCAGGCCTTTATGGTGGAACTGCTGCAAAGATATCGCTACCCAAGGGCCAAGAAAGACAAGAAATATGCATTAGACCAGTGGAAATCTGGACTTTGGTTTGAGGAGTCCGACCTTGATGTTCTTGGATGTCACCGCTGTGTCTTTCTGAGATGTACAGAAGGTGAATGGATGGTATCTTGGTCAACATCATGTGTGTTTCCCACCATGAAGAATGAATCAGGAGCCATGATGGCGACACTGCTAGAGCTCTATTCCACTGAACCTACTCGCCGTCTCATCTGGTTTGAGCTGGAGTGGGACCATGATTGGTTTTTCAGCTAAAACACACCTCCAGGCTCTGTGAACGCTGTTTGACCGAGAATCAGAGTGATGGAGTGCTGCATCAGATGACCTGGCCTCCGCAAATTATCCAACCTGAACCCAGCTGAGATGAGCTGGAGTGCAGAGCGAAGGGAAAAGCAGCCAAACATGTACTCGGCATACGCTGGAACTCCTTCAACACTGTTGGAAGCGCTGCGGGTGACGACCTCGCGAAGCTGAGAATGGGGGAGCGTGCAAAGCTGTTATCAAAGCAAAAGTTGGATACTTTGAGGAATCTGAAGCATGTTTTTCCTTTGTTTACACTTTTTTCCTCCATAAATCCAAAGGAGCTGCAGATGTAGCCCCCTGGGATGCATTTATAGCTGGTTTTTGAAATCACTGACAGACACTTTATAGTCACAGATTTTTCATGTAGCTTCCCAAGAACCTGTTTTTAGTCGGTGGGCTGTTAACCTGCATCCTATTAGGAAACCTAGATGGCATAATGCTGATGTATTTATATTTAATCCTGCCTTCTAGCCCTAACTTTTGACAGTTTTCTGGTCAATTGCTTGCCATGGCTCATTTGCCGTATTTGGTTATGGAAATGTTTCGCTTGATTATTCAACCCCTGCAGCAAAACCGTGATCCGATCTCGTCGTTTTTACGAGGCCATTTTATGACGGCGGTTGGTTGTTGTTTCCCCCCCGCTTCCCTGCGCTCCGGCCCACACTGAGATGCTTGTGCTTGAGATCGCAGTGCACTCCATTGGCTCATTGTCGACGCTCATTAGTCTTATGACCTTGGCGTCAACCAGCCTTCTCTCTCTCTTTTCACCCCGTCTTGACCGTCGAGAAACCCTCCAGTGTCTCGAAGCGGCTCTCCATTCACAGAAGACCCCCAACTCCACATTTAAAAAAAAAAAGAGAGAGAAAAAGACCACATCTGCCAGCGCTGCCTTGTGAGCCAGAACTGCACTCAGCTGTGACAAACATACTCAACATTGCAGAAAAATTAGACATGGATGGAGTTGACAAGAGTCTCTAACATCTCCAACTCGGGATGCTTTCCCAGACTCTGATTATCCCTGGTCTTTTCAGAGTGTGCTTCGCATGTTCTTCTTCTTCTCTTTTTTTTCTCATCCCCATTGGAAATAATTCTATGTCAAAGAAAATTACAAAAATCACAAGAAAATATGCTCCGTAAATTTCTACGGGTGTCTAATGACGTGTCCACTCGCCGAACGCGAAAACAGGCTTGATGAGTTACACGGGCAGACAGCGGAGATGGTTTCGTTCGCACGGCGACGGCAGCCTACGGTACTCTGCGCATTCAGTCATCTCTAATAACGCCAATTGATATGAAGCCTTGTCCACCTCAATATCACTAAACTGCAGCTGAGGACTCATGTATAATTTCGCAAAAACATTTCTAAATGGCTCTACAGATCGAGTTTTCCTCTGTCTGTTCCGCGCTTTCCTCCTCTCTCCTCCACCTCTCTGTATAATTTAGCAGCAGATAAGCTCTCCCTCTCCTACATTAGTGTGCTATATCACTGCCAGCTAAAGGAATGGGGGCCTTCGCTCTATATGTGATACAGTTTCTGGCTGCCAAGCCCAGCCGCCGCCGCCGCCGCCGCTGCCACCATCACTTGGTGCTGACGAGTTTGGGCGCTTGCCACGTTCTGCACCTGCCAGACTCATAAAGAATCCCCCTGTTTCTCTGGGGGCCCCGAAGGCAGGATCTGCCGTAATTGTTAAGGATGTCGCGATTTAGACATTCAAGCCAAAGCTTAGACAGTTGATGGCGCCAACAAGTTGGCAGATGGTCCATTTTGTTCAGCTGATCCGTCAGCCGGGTATTTGAGGTGTTAAGATGAATGAGCGGCTGCATTTTGTGACAAGTGGCGAGAATTCGGCCTTTAAAACGTAAGCAGAAGTCAGATCCGTTGCTTAATGCTGTCGCTGCCGTCTCGGCCAGGAACCGCAACGCGAAGGAGATGTTTGAATTTTAGCCCAGAAAAACTTGGATAAGTGGGCTTGATAATATAACACGGCAAAGTGGATGAGTGCCTCTCTCATCGCACATACGTTTCTAAGAGAGGAAGGAAGGAGGAGTCCAATCGAGATTTATATGATTTACACTTCATGTTGAGTGTAAATGCATCCCAGCTTGTGTGTTTGCTGAAGCCAGAAGAGGACTGCAGACCATTAATTTGTGCATGTATTCACCATTACTATGCCAGCGGCTAAATTAATGCATATTTATGACGTGTGACAAAATGATGGAATGAGGCCTCCAGAAATGAGACTTTTGCAGAAATTCCACTCCAGCGTATCGGCTCATTCACACCGCTGCTTATTTTCTCATTTTCTCTCCCGCTCTGCTCTCGAGTCTTGTGCATCTCGTTCTGTCCTCGCATCAACTCATCTATATATAGCAGGTCTCTCCCCACTCGCTCGCCGTCTGCGTTACTGGAACGGCGAGGAGTGGGCGCCTGCACTTTTTTTGAATGCGCAGCTTTGTCCGAGGAACCGAGGCCGGCGAAAGAAAAAGATAAAGGGAGAGGAAGAAAGCGCCATTGACAGACGGGCAAACACCAGTCAGGCCCTGTCCCCCTCTCTCCCCATTGTCTCAAAGTGCTAGACGTCAGCAAACGGCAGGAATCTGGAGATGAGGGAGGACGGAGGGCAAAGAGTCGGGGCTTTGTTCGCTGGCCTCAGGCCCGGTTGAAAGTGCAAGGAGAGGAGAACGAAGGCGATGGAGGAGAGAGCACTGGACTGACCTCGCTGTAGGACCCTCCCCCTCACTGTAAACACAAGCTCCCCGTGTGGTAATCCACATATGTGCAGAGCTGCTGCAGATGGTCCTAATTCTACATCATACATCCTTGCCTCCGCTACATGCTAAGTGCTAATTAGCGTTTCCTCTCAGCTCCATCGCACCACGAGGGTAATCCCACATGTTGCATTCACCAGAGTTTGCAAATTCGCCCCGGGTTGCCCAACAATGAATCCACCAGCTACTGTACAGGTGCCTTTTTTTTTTTTTTTTCTCGCCTTCCACTTCAACACACAATGAGTGTTAATTTGCAAAAGGGGGGGAGAGAAACCACGGGAGGTGGTGTGTGGTGGGTTGGAGGAGAGGAGGAATGGGCCGGGCCGGGCCTCGGCGAGGGGTGTGGTTGGGTATAAACCAGGGGACAGTGGGTTTTCTGTTGTTGTCCTGTTTTGAAGCCCCTCCGTCCTGGCATCCTGCTGCATCCCTCCACTCTCTCTTCTTCTTCCTTTCTTTCTTTCTTTCTCCTCCCTCCACAGCGGGACTCTTCCTCGACAGGCTCCTGTCAGGTCGGCGGCGTTCAGTCTTTTGGGAGCTCCGTAGAAGCCAGAAACCATGCTGACGTTTTTGGCGCTGGCGTCGGTTGTCCTCCTGGGAATAGGTAAAAAAAAAAAAAAAAAAGAGAAGAAGAAGAGAGAATAAATCTTCTTTTAACTTTAATTTCTTTTTTTCTTTTTTTTGATGAGTTCTCAAAGGAAGCCCACACTGAGTTCTATTTTATTGAAAGTGAAGATGTAGAAATTATCTTTTCACTGATGTGCAGGTTAAAAGTTAAACGAGGACAGGAAGAAGTGTTTTTTTTCTTTTTTCTGTTTTCTCACTGATTGCTTACCTGAAAACTAATGACGACAAAGAAAAGGGTTAATAGCTTGGGCAACAAATTCATCTTGTCGTGCTCAGTAATATCTCCTTCTGCACTGGATTACTACTGAACTAAAGCATTTTAATTGCCATCAGGGCATTTGCTGTATTGATTTCATCTAAAAGGCCACTACTGCACCTGTGGCTCCTTTTTTTGTGTGTGTGTGCATGTATTACTTTTATAGTAAATGACCCAGCACTGTCCTTCTGTGCTGCTCTCATAAAACAGGTGTCGTCAAGCTTGCAAAGTTAAAGAGCACTAATATTATGACTTCAAAGCAGAGTAGATGGCTCTCTCTCTCTCTCTCTCTGCTCCCTCCTGTCAGATAGCTGCAGATTTTTTGTCAGAATTTTAATTAAAAATGTCAGGCATGATTTCATTGACAAGTTTTTTTTTTTTTTTGCGGGGGCTGGGCTATCGCTCAAGGATGCTCTCAGTGAAAGATGTGAACTTTACTCTCGGGGTGTTAAAAAGAAGGCAGAGAGCTCCTCAGGGGGGGCTTCACAGCTGTGAGGATGATGTGACTCACGGCGGTTCGTCCACACGTGCAAGTGAACAATACAGGAGTGATACTGTCGAGTGGCAGCCGTGGAGGTGTGAAGCTCCCGAGGGGCTTTCTGTAGTTGTTTGAGATTCTGAGTGCATTTTCGGGGGAAGTAAAATATTGATTCTGCAGCCAAAACCAAATTAACATCGATCATTAAATATTATTCAAGCATAAACAGCGCACATGATTAGGCCAACGTAATCCATATTAATAGAGAAAATGATGCTCCCCTTTGACTTTTAGAGACTCGCACCGATATTGCAGTAATAATCCAAATATTTACTGAGTGCACGAGAATCGATGGCTGATTTGACACCACTAAATGTGCAGTTTATCGGCATGCTTTGTGTTTTTATTTGGGTTATATTTTGTGGCTGTTCATGGAGAAAAGTGATAAATGTTCACGTGAGCAGCTCTGAATGTCTTGTGATTACAGTAAGGTTTGGAGCCCTTTAGTTCGTGCCGATACCAGTGTTTTTAAATCAGCATTTTGCAGATTAGAGTGTTTTTATGTCCATTTTTCTATTCAGCTGTGCACACATGGGCTCCTTTGCTCACTAACATGCACTCAGTGTTGCTCAGACTGTTTTTGTTTGTCCATTGAGCTCTTACACCTGATTTGTGTCTCCCAGTGCCTGAGCAGTCCCAGGCCATAGTGATTTACACCGGCTGGGAACGTCATGCCCTCCTGGGCTCCGACATCCGGCTGTCCTGCTCCTTCTTCTCCTGGCGCTGGACCTCGGAGGACGTCACCTTCTCCTGGACGTACAGACCCGATGGCTCCCGGGACAGCATCTCTGTAATACCCAAATTCACACACACACAAGACTGAAAAGCATCCAAACATTAGTCACATCCAAGCTCAGACTGTGATTTAAGCTCTACAAAAGAGAGCTAACATCTTCAAACTCATTGTATTTCAGCCTGCAAAGTTGCTGTTTTGATTCATTCTTATCCTTCTCATCTGTGTTGTTTTCAGCTGCAGCAGTAAAAAAAAAAAAAAAGCACTCAGATAAACCCTCTGTACACTCCCTGTCCAGAGTCAAACAGCAGACAGACAAAGATAGCAGCTCGTTGTTGAAATAATGCAGCATTTGGCAGCAAATAGGAGCCAGATATTTTTTATGTAAATCACTAAGTTGGGGCTGCAGCAGATTAGCCTCCTCTTCACTTTTTTTTTTCTCTCCATTTGCCTGAAAGACATTCTTATGTTGCGTCCTCCCACTTAAACTTAACCTTCTCTAACATTCAAGAATAAACAATTAAGAAGAAAATATGAACAGGACAGAAAGCTGGAATCACCAACAATGGTTTCGTCTTTCGCTAAAAGACTTTTTTGTTTTCGCCGCCGCTACCAGGCACGAGGAGGAACAAAAATTTAGTCAGAGGGAGGAGGGCGTGGCGTCGTGACGACCACGTGGTTTGATTTCTGGACAGAGGAGTTCTTTAACCCTCTGACCCCAGTGCAGCTGGTTTTTTTCTTCTTCTCCTGTTTATACATTTTCACTCATTGTTGGCGTAGGGTTGGGGTTAGCCGAGGCCTTAACGACACAGTTAGAATGCTATAAATCATTTCTTTAACAAACAAAATCTGGAATCATCATGTACAACATTTTTCCAAGTGCCTACAGGTGTTACCAGCACTGAAAAAGAAAAGGATAAATATTATAGATATTTTGTTATTTGCATTTTTATTCTGTTTTCACGCCCGTCTCCTGTCTGCTCGGTGTAAACTCAGCCTGCAGTTCAGCTGGAAACTGTCTGAATTTTTGCCACATGACTGTTGGTCTCAGCAGAGCCGGTCATAGCTTCCAGTTGCACAGTGAACTGCATAATTTTTCGTTTTGTACAGAATCTGGTTAGAATAAATTACTTGTTTTATTTTTAACAAAAATTGAAATGAGACATATTGAATAAAGTAATTTTGATTAAATATCAGCCTTAATATTTAACATGATTAGTTGCAGGGCTGTGGGAAACTACATAATCCAGCAGTTCCTACTGTTTTTATAGTGTCTTTCTGTGATAAATGGTGTCACGTTTGTTTTAAAGATAGTGCACCTTTCAAATGTGCCGGCAGGTTTTGGGGTTCAGTGGGTTCGATTAAAAACTCACGTAAACAATTACTGAACTTGGTTTTGCATAGATTTAATCTCAGCCTGTATTTTAAACATGCTTTTCCAGGATGAACAAATTCATTCAGTTTTAGTAATTTCTAACACTCAGGGAACACGATTCATCCCAAAAGGAATCCTGGCTTTATCAGATAAATGCATATTTAAAAGGTCATTGTGCACAAATAGTGCTGGGTTTACTCCAACACATGCACTAAGTCGAGGAAAGTTTCCCTCCTAATCTTCCCACTGCTGCCTCACCTGCCTCCTGCTCTTTAATTTCACTCTCCCTGCCCTTATCATCCTGCCATCTCTCTAATCTCTCTATCTCGCCGTCCTGACTGTGCCTCCCTCTGTCCACCTCCCTTAATCTCCTCCTCCCCAGCCCCTGCCTTCTTTGTCCCTCCCCTCCTCTCTCATTATGTCCTCCCCTCACCTCCTTCGCCTTCATCTGTCTCCCGCAGTGCCCTTACTTTGAAACTAGATTCCACTTCTCTTTTTTTTTCTCCCTTTCCTCCCCTCCACACTTATCTTCTGTCGCTCATTTCTCTCCCTGCCTGGACAGATTTACAGTTTCATACGTCTATCTGTTTTCTCGGCGCATTTGTCCTTTTAAAATGTCGTATTTGATATGTGACACGTTCACATCACGTGAAAGGTCCTCCGTAACTCAGGAATGACTCGCTTGTGGCAATCGCAGGCCTCAAATCCTCCTGTATGGATGTGCACTGACACATTAAAACTAAATTTGACCTTGAGCTTGTGGAGTCCTGGGCATCCTCCAAGCTTCTCCCCAAATCAATACACACCATGTTTAAAAATCAATTCTTGGTGATGGTACATTTATTGGTTGTCATTATTTTAGAAGTCATGTCAGTGGGGCTGGGTTTGGTTTTGATATTTGTTCGATACGATAGCAAGACCAAAACTTTTTTTTGTGCAGCTTTACTTTGAGAAACTTGGCTAAAATATCAGAAAATTTCCCTCAGGAGTTGGTGGAGACAACAGACTGTAGATAAAGATGAACAAACCCTCAGTGACTTCACCCACAGGTTTTCTGAAAAGTGTTTTTGATGATGGGTTTAGGGCTGCCATCGGTTGCCATCTTGTCAGTGCCTGATTGCTCCTAACTCCTGACTAATCTCAAAATGATCATGCACAGCTTTACACCTTTATATAATTAAAACAGGTAAAATATATATTTAAAAAAAGTCCTCCTTTGTACAGTTGTTATAAAAGGGGGGGTGTTTTTCTGCATTGGCTTTATTCTTCAATAAAAGGAAATAATAGAGTTTAATAGCGTAGATGTCTCAAAAATGCAGCTTCAAATGAATGCTAATGTTCCATCACAACTGCGTGTGCAAACAAATTTTCTTTTCTGATGTTATAGAGTGTTTGCAAATTGCTTCCAGTGGCCACAGATGTCCAAAATTTAGTTATTGGCAGCCTTAATTGTGCATAACTTTAGGACTTAATGCAATTTAAATGGAAGAATTATATAAAATTTCAACCCCTGCACAGTTGTTAACAAAGGGGGAATGAGCTTTGGAGACCAAAATGGTTTTTGTATCAGGCTGTAAACATCTTTATTTCTGCTGTGAAGTTGGGCATTTGAACATTTCAGTCTACGGGGATTGACTCACTTTTGGAGCCAGCCTCAAGTGGTCATTCAAGGAACTGCAGTTTTTGGCACTTTGCATTGGCTTTATTAATCAATGAAAGGAAATAATAGTTTTATAGTGGGGATGTCTGAAAAATGCAACTCCAGATGAATGCTAATGATCCACCACAACTATGTGTGCCAACACATTTTCATCGATGATGCTATAAAGTGTTTGTGGCTTGAATTCAGTGCCCACAAATGTCCAAAAATGTGTTATTTGCAGCTTTCATTGTGCATAACTTTAGGCCTTAATGCAATTTAAATGGAGGAATTATATAACATTTCAACCCCTGCACAATTTTCATAGAAGGGGAATTAGCTATAGAGACCAAAACGGTTTTTGTTTCAGGCTGTAAACATCTTTATTTCTGCTGTAAAGTTGGGCATTTGAACATTTCAGTCTTTGGGGATTGACTCACTCTTGGAGCCAGTCTCAAGTGGCCATTGAAGGAACTGCAGTTTTTGGCACTTTACCTTGGCTTTATTCTTCAATAAATGAAAATAATCGGGTTTTATAGGGCGGATGTCTTAAAACTGCAACTCCAAATGAATGCTGATGTTCCACCACATCTGCATATACGAGTAGATATTCTTCAGTGATGTAAAAGAGAGTTTGCAGCTTGCCTTCAGTGTCCACAAATGTCAAAAAAAAATGTTATTGATGGTTTAAATCTGGATTTTTTGGTGAAAGAGCAAGTCGGTGAGGTTGCAATCTAAACAGATGTTGATACTTGACAGATCTGAGTGCTCAGTGCCAAAAAAAAACAACACCTAACCCAGTTCTCCTTGTTGACGCACTTGAGCTGAGTCTCATACATGATTCTCACATATGAATGAAGCTTCAGCTGCTACACAGAGCGGTAGTAAAAATTTGCCTTGAATGCAAAATGAGAGTAAAAACCTGTCATTACAGTTGCATCTTGGCTTCTTTCTCTCACACAGATCTTCCACTACACCGGCGGTGTTGCCTACGTTGACAACAAGGGCCCGTTCAGGGACAGACTGGAGTTTGTGGGGAACCCCGGCCGCCGCGACGGCTCCATCCTGCTCAAAAACCTGGAGTTCAGCGACAACGGCACCTTCACCTGCGACGCCAAGAACCCCCCTGACATAGTGGGCCGGCCCTCCAGCGTCCGCCTGCTGGTGTTTGAGAAAGGTGAGAAGGGACGGGAGCACTTTGACACCTGCGGGGGGGGTTTTCGTCTGCAAATGAAATTCCTCAATGCGTAAAGTCTTAATGCGTGCATTGTGTTACATCTGTGTCTGCTCATTAGCTTTCCACTGAGCCCATATGGCGTATTTTGGTGAGTTTTTTTCCTCCATCGGAAGCCAACTGTTCTCAATTGTTGTTATAATCATTCCAAACTCTGAAATTAATCTCAATTTTCGCTGTGCATCAGACTAAAGCGAGCGCTGTGTTCAGACAAGTCGTCACACTGTCTCATTTAGAATTCCACGCACCTCCCGTTAAATGAAATCAATTACAATTTTATCTCTTTCTCCATTTGAGATTGCTATCTCTGCCTCCCTTTCTCTTCGTTTCACCCGCTCCACGTCGTCTTCTCCTCCCATTTCTTTTCCGCCGTCTCCCACTTTCTCCCTCCACGACTCTTTCCCTGATCTCCCCTTTCTTCTTCCTTATCTCGTCGTCTCTTCATCTCCCTCTCCACCTCTACTGCGCTCGAATCCTTCATCTTTAATTCAACCTTTATTTTAACTTTTGCTTTCCTTTTTCTACTCTAGTTTCATCTTTTATTCTCTTTCCTTCCAGCTTTGTTTTCCTCTCCCTCTCACGCCTATTTCCTCCCTCGTATGACAGCACCTTGACTGTTTCTCTTTCTTTGTACCTTCTCCCAATCTCTACCTGTCACTTGCTCCCTTGTTTTCATGCTCACATTCTCTGCATTGTTCCTGCTCTAATTCCTCTTTTTTTTCCCCTCTCCTCCACCATCAGTGCCCATCCAGGCTGGCGTGATCACAGGAGCCATCATCGGGGTGGTGCTGGGCCTGCTGGTGCTCATTGTGGTCATCTACTACCTGATGAGGTTCCTGGTGGCGCGTCGCGTCTTCAGCCTCAGCGTCAGGTCAGTGCCGGGCCCGTGGTTGGCGACTCTCTGCCAGTCGGGTCTCTGCCAGGGACTGGAGCTGAAGCCGGAGCCCATCCCTGGCACCGACACCTGCGTGGCCAAGCTGGCGTAGCTGCAGTGTCCGCGATTTGATTTGGTTAGGTGTTGGAGGTGTAGATTTGAAGTTAGTCGGCTGGAAAGAGGCAGATAATGATCCCCCCCATTTAGATTTAATCTACAAACAGTACAGCGAAGGTCCAAAGCGAGATGATTAAAAGTAGGGGGAAGGTTTCTGAGTGGATAATCCTCCAGATCACGAAGATGATGGATCCATCGTCTTGCTCATACCTTTCCAATCTTATGAGATCTTAACGCATTGAGCGCCTGGAGGCTGCATTTGAGACAGGACCAGTAGATTAAGTTGATGTTCTCTTTATGATAGCTGCCAGGCAATGCTGCCCTGTGACCACTGGAGGGAGAGATAGATTCGACATCCTGACATTGTCTTTCTTTTGTCCCCTCCAGCAAACATGGCAAGAAAAAGAAAGAGGGATCACAGCAGAGACAGGCAAGTTTCCTCCTCCTCCTTCTTCCTCCTTCTTCTTCCTCCACGACCCCGTCTCCCCTCCTTTCCTCCTCTTCCTCCTCTTTTCCTCGCACACTCCACCACGACAACATCAAATGCAACAGATTGTTTCGCTGTCATATCCAAGGCGCTAATAGTGGAAGGATGTCCTTTTGGAGAGATTACAATAGCATTCAGTGTTTGGAGCTCAGGAAACGTGTTGTCAGAAGGAATATTCATCCACTCTGTTGCAGCGCAGCCACACAATAGCACACATCCAACATGACAGCGCATAACGGCACAGTTTCATAATCGCATTCCCCCAATGCCAGTCCAAGCAGCTTCAGCGGTGCCCTCGCACTTAGCCTGCTCCTCCTCGCGGCAACATATCAGCAGCAGAATAACATGTCATTCAAACTCTGCGCCACAAACACTAATAACAGTGTTCAAGCTGTTAAAATTCTGGTGCCGTCTGAGCGTTTTGAGGGGCTTTAAATCCCGTCCCACCTCTTCTTTGCTCCCCCCCTCTCGTGGCTCTCACCCCTCCTTCCGCTCCCTTGGGGTGGCCGAACAGCATGGCGCCAGTAAACAGCCACGGGGCAAAAATCAAACCAGCGACTGTGAAATGGCCGAGGCCAGGTTACGGCACTAATACTGTTGCTGTATTGAATGGGACTGTGATTTGCTCACAGTGGGGAGAGGGACGGGAGCTGCTGATTTTGCTCACTGGGAGTCAAATGAAAATCACTGGGCCTATTATGGTCTGGGCTGTTATCAGTGGTTTTTACGCTGCTGCACGCCAAGGATTTGGGTTTTTTTTTTCTTCTTCTTCCCTTCTATTCCTCATGGGAGTGTTATAGCCTCAAGTGGTGGATTAATCAGACATTATGGTGGCTTGTATTCTTTAGTGAATACAAGGCACCAGGGCAAGTTCTGTTTGATTACTCTGTGGGGCTGGATGGTTGTGGGGGAGTATTGTAATCGACTATACGCTCCGCATGCCGATAATGACAAAAAAAAAAAGAAAGGAAAGTCAAGGGATTTGGGTTCAAGGCGTGTTTTCCCGCAATCAAAAACTCCACTTTTGAAAGCGATCGGAAGCCGGAGATCAAAGGCGTTATTGTGACAGCAAGTCATTTTAGCTGCAGGTGGAAGCTCGGGACGAGGCTCCGGTGCAGCGCCATCTTGCCCCCGTGGCGTAAACCTACAGGGCGGCGGCGGCGGCGGCGAGGGCCAACGCGTCCTCCTATACCTCAAACAAGTGCACTCGTTCTCGTCTCCCCGGAGCCCCTCTTTCCTCGCTCTGTCTTCTTCTTTTCCTTTCTACTGTCGTGTGATTGTCAGGTTATTCTTGAGCTGCAGTCAGTTGCTCTCAAGTGCCTGCGGCGGGTGACAGTGCATATATGAATAAATAACTCGCCGCCAAAAGGACACTGAAATATTTGACAACGTTGTCATTTACAGTTACTCTCCTGCAAGTGTCTGCTTTGGAAGAAAAATATACGGCAAAAACAGCTATTCCATCTGAGCCCACACTCACTTATTTTTATTTATTTTCGAGCTGCTTCCTTTTTCTTGTAGCTGCGCCTCTCACACACACAGAGAAGGACCCGTGGGATTCTTTTTTTTTTTTTTTTACAGTGCACTCATAAGTGGTTGTTTGATCAAATAGCCCTTATTAGGAGGCTCTGCTGACACAACACAATTTCGTATCAGCCTCGCCATCTTCGTTACTCTTCTGTTTGCTGGGCTTGCACTGCGAAATCTCCAAAAGGCGGCGGCGGCGGCGGGTGAGGGAGTGAGCGAGACGGAGAGACAAAGGAACCCTGTGGTTTGTGCTACTCCCCATTAGGTGGAGTTGTGGAAGAGGACTCTACCCTGCAGCCGCACACCAGAGCTTGCAGCAGTCGAAACACACACACACACACATACACACACACGCTCTGTACTGGAATGATAATTGAGTGCACTCGGTATCGATCGGCGCTCGCACACACTCACAAACCCACCCATTCTTCTTTCCATCCCCCCCCAATCGCCTCCTCCCTGACTTCACTCCACTCCCTCTCTCCCTCTCATTCAGATTCCTTTTATCCCTCTCTTCAGTCGCATCCTCCTCCTCCTCCCTCCTCTCCACGACTTCCTAGCTGACCATGAGAAGCATCTATCTATCTATTTCTAACTCCCCTCCTCTTTCCTCTTCCCATCTTCTTACTCCCTTCCCAGCCCTCTCTCTCTCTCTCTCTCCTTAGGTATTCTGGGCTCTGATCAGCTTTGGTTCCGGACAGAAAATCACTACCTCTCACTCCTCATCTACCTCTCAATCTCCCTCCTCACCTGTCACCTTCTCTCTTCAGTATGCAGCAGGGGACGCAGCCACTTACCTGCCTATCTGCCTCCCCGCCAGTCCCTCTTATTTTGCCACTGTACCCACATTTCCTTTTGAAGTGTGTGCAGCCCCTGTAACTAGGGTAAGGCTCTGCGTTCTGCTTAAGCCGGCTGGTTCGCGAAGCGGGGCCCGCCGTTAGCGTGGGAGCTCTGCAAGCCGTTGCAGCACGAGCTTGAGCTCTGTCGTGGGACGCATAATGGTAAACAATGCAATGATGTATGAGGGAACGTAAGCATGATCGAAGGTAATGACGGCGGATGGCCCACACAGCTTTCCCGTCGAGCCGGGGCGTTAGCTGCAGCCTCAGATTGCTGTCTGCCTTCTCACAGTGCATAATTAAAGATGATAAATTTTTCTAATGCAATCAGTGGGGTATTATTAGTCGAAGCTTCAGTGGGTAGAAACAGCCTCGAGTGTGCTTTCCACTGTTGACTAACCTGATGTATTATAGCTGAAGTATTTCAGTCTCAGATCCAGCGTGCTCTCCTGTTCACGCCGTCTGTTCTCCGTAACACTACAACAGGCCTCTGGTTCAAGCTGTGGAAGAGCATTAAAAATGCAAACCGTTATATATGAGTGAAGTTTCATTAAGCTCCTCCAGAACATTATCACGCACTTGTGGCACTTTTCAATAGGTTAACTCATAGGTTAATGCACTGGAATGCAGCTAGTGTAAAGTTAAGTATTGCTCTGACCTTCTCTCCACTTGGTCCAGTCTTTCCTGGTGGATTTGTTGTCCTCAACTTCACTTCCTTTTTCCTCCTCTTTTTGTTTTTATAGATTTCTTCTTGGGGATGTTGGTAGGCATTGCACAGACAATGTTCAGAATGAGTGGGAGTGAATGGCTGAATTATATAAGTAGAAGTTGAATGAATATTTAAGGCTGATGTTGACCTTTTTTACAAAAAAAAACATTGTAAAAACCAGTCAAGCAGGTGTGTCCCTGACCACAGCTACAGCAAAACACTCTTAAAGATTTATTTATTTGGTTCCCTGCACACTTAAATGATTTATTTAATAGCTCAGTTATATACTTCACAAATATTTAATTTCCAGTTGGCACTCTGTCCCTGAGTTTGCCTTCTCTAAATGTAATGTTGTGCCTTAAAGCAGTGCTTACCCCTAAGTGTTGCCCTGAAAGTCAAATGGCATGCACGATTTGCAGGTTAAATAAGACGTGTCTCACATTCGGCTGAGCATATTTTGCAGTTAAGAGCCTCGCCTCCAAGAGACACATACTAATATAAATTGCATTTTCACAATTTATGCACACATTTTAAAGAAATAAGAAAAAAAAAGAAAGACCCGACAAACAAAACAGAATTTGAATAAGAATAGTGTCATCATTAGTGTGACACGAAATCGGAGGTTAAAGAATAAACTCGGAAGCGAGAGTAACTTGATTTCAAATATGAAAAAAGGCCAGTTTTGAATAATTCAAAAGCAGTTACGCATTTTATTTTTTTATGTAACTACACATACCCACGGTTTCAACAGTATTTAAATGACTTTATTTTACCGAGCTGCGAGTCCTACCTACACACCGAAATACAGCCAGTAAAATGGTTTTTAACCACAGACACAATATTTTTTAAAAAAAAACCCTTCGGTTTCCTGAAAAGCAGTTTTGAAGCTCAGTGTGGTGGCTCCAGCTCTTTCCATCTTGGCAGCATCAGATTTTTTTTTTCTTTTAGCAAATTAGCAAAGAGGTAGAGCATGAGTGGAGCTGAGGTGGAAGATCGACTCCCACTTGTCACTCCAAGCAGCAACATCCTTAATTATGCATAACTTTTAGCCTTAATACAGTTTGAATGGTTGAGTTTTATAAAAATTCAACCTCTCTGCAGTTATCATGAACTGGGAAATTAGCATTTGAAATCAAAACTATTTCTTGTATCAGGCTGTAAACAAGTTTAATTCTGCTGCAAAGTTGGCTGTTTTAATATGAAGGAACTTACTTTTGGAGCCAGCCTCAAGTGGCCGTTCAAGGAACTGCAGTTTGGTACTTAAGTGTTCGTCTGATGTAGACTGCAATTCTCACGGAGTTCTTCTCACCTTTTGCTATATACGTGTTCCTGTTATTAAAATCCTCTTCACTACAGGAAAGAACAACAACCTCCTTTCAGGCAAGCAATTTACCGTACTGAAAATTTCATGTTTTAAATGGAATTTGGATTTTTAAGTCAGGCTGCTGGTCTTTTCCAGCCATTTTAAACGCAGTGCTCACCTCCTTTCCTTATGTCACCATTTTAAGGGAACAAAGTTACTGCATCCTGGGCTGATCTCCACCCATTGCACTTGTTTTAGGAAAATACAAGGAAGCCAAAGTGGGTTTTTTTGTCTTCCTCCTTTCGCAGAATGATAATGAGGTGCAGCCAGAGAGACAACTTCAGCTTAATTTTTCCACTGCTTCAACCACAACCTGAAATATTACCTCGATGAATGAACTTCCAACACATTTCCGACACATTTGTCTGCAGATTCATCCACAGAGATGATTTTTTTTTGTCATGACAGGAATGACGCTAAGAGCTCTAAACGCTGCCAAATTTAGAGATGTTGGACATCATCCCAGTATGTGTAAAATTCATAAAATAGTCCACTGCCAGGTATAACCCAGCCTGGCAGCAGATGTGTTTGTGGACTACGGTAGACCTGTTAGTTGTGGCAAAATTAGCCATTTTAGAAAAAGTGCTGACCTCCGTTCTTCATGGAACTATTTTGAGGGGACACAGTTGCTGCATCCTGGGCTGAGCTTCGCCCTATGCAGTTGTGATTGGTTTAGGGAAACACAAACCAGACCGTTTTTCCCTCTTTAGCAGGATGATAATGAGATGCAGCCAGAAAGACTATTAACATTTTTCAGCCAGTTCTTCCAGGAGCTGAAATATTATCTTGGTAAACTTCCAACTAGATTTTAGACATTTACACTCATTCGCCTTCACATTCATCCACACTGGGGACCTTTTGTTTTGTCATGACAAGAATGACACTGAGAGCTAATTTGTCTCCGAATGTGCCAAATTTAGGGATGTTGGACATCATCCCAGTATGTGTAAAATTCATAAAATAGTCCACCGCCGGTTAAAACCCAGCCTGAAATCACAGGTTTGAGTGTGTGTGTGTGTGTTTGAGTGTGTTATTGATCAATTGTCACTCAGTTGTCACAGGTGTATGGAGCCTTTCTGCCACTGTGTCCCATCCTAACGCATGGTTACCTGTTTTGTCACCCCCTTACAGCTCTGGACACCGCCCCCTCTCACTTGCTACCCCCTCCCTTAAAAGGACTGTCTCTCGACCTCCTCACCCTTCTTTGTCTCTCTGCATGTCTCAACCTCTCCTCCTCCACCTCCACCTCCACCTAAATGTGTTCTTCTCTCCTCTTCACACAGCTCCACCCATCCTGCGTTAACCCCATCTCTCATCCTCTCACCTCTTAACACCGAATCTCCGTCCCTCCTCTTGCTGCCTTTCCTCCTGAAGTGACTCTCCTCCCCTGTTCTCCCCCCGACCCCCTCTCCCTCCTCCCCCACAGGGCCCCGCGCCTCCCGCCGATCCCTCCAAGGTGAAGGCGGCCGCTTCGGAAAAGAAGAAGCAGGAGTCACGCAAGGATAAGAAATAGGATTCGGGGAAGGGCTGGGGCCGGCTCGCCGACCGGCTGCTCCAGCCCGTTCGCCAGGCGGTGGCGAGAACCCAGCCCAAGCAGCAGCAGAAGCAGCAGCAGCAAACCGTAGTCAGGAAGACAGAGAGGGTTGGGGGAGGAGGCGGGGAGGAGGGCCGGGTTCTGATGACCATCGAGCTGGAGCTGACCCGCAGCAACGGGGAGGAGGGGCCCGGCGGCGAGAGAGGAGGAGGAGGGCCGGGGAGGTCCAAACCGCTCGGCCTCCTCTCCCGTCTCGCCAATCAGCTCACTTTCAAACAATAGGGGGGCCGAGGGGGGAGGCATTGGGGAAGTCTGCCGAGGAGACGACGGGAGAGTTAAAACCACGAAGCTACTTTACGCCCACCGCAACCTGAAGTCCCCAGGATAAATGAGTCAAATCATATCTGCTCTTGTCACAGGCTGATGAGTGTAGACGCAGCTATATGGGCCCAGATCTAAGATGTCGTGATAATCTCTTACACCAGCCGGCACCCCGAGTACTTTTGTCAGGTCATAAGATATGCCATTTGAAGCGAGACCTTAAGACGGCTGGGTTTGATAACAAAATCTAAAAAGCCGCTCCCCGGGTTTTTGCCTTTCTGGTTTCCTTTCATTGTGATCCTATCCGCCGAAAAAGCTTTCTCCAAGTGCGTCCGATACGCATCGCGAATCCCCAGCTGCGGGGACAAGCCAATTTGCTTTTCTCAGCGGCGACGCGTCAAAACTTCCTCTCCTCACTCTCATCTTCATCCCTTTTCCTCCCTGCTCCTATCCCGTGCCTTCCTCCTGTCACTGTGCATATCCTGACTTTCTTGTTAATTCAAATTACAGAAGTGATTTATATGCTAACTGCTCTATCCTGTTTCTCTTCCTCTCTCACTTCCCTTACCCTTGTCTTCTTCCTCCTGTAGATAAAGGTCTGACTTCTCCATGACTGCCTCCACTCCTCTAGTCTGCTCCCTCCTTTTCTGCCCAGCCTGATGCAACCCCCATTATTTCCCATTATCTCTACTCTTTCAAGACAGCACTGGCTGTAAGAATAGTCCCTACTATATCAGTGGCAAGAGTGTCAAATAATTTTTACAACGCCTCATCGGAGATCCTGTATGCACTCATTGGGCAAACTGTAAAACTGTTTAAGGCCTAACTACGCACATAACTTCCTTAAGAGGAACCCGACAGACATCCTTCTGTGTTTAGAGTCCCCTGAATCTTTCAACCCCGTAATGTTTACGACTCAATCACACACAGCGAGCGGAGCTGTGAGTGCACTCTGGACTTCAGATAGAGTAAAAAAAAAAAAAAAAAGTGAGACGACAGGGAGGGAGAGGAGAGTGATGGTGGGAGAGAAATATGATTCCTGCTCTCGGCCGGCGCAGATAGAGGTTCAAGCCCTCGAGCTCGTGGGTGATTCAATCCTCTCACATTTGAGCTAATGGAGGTTGTCGCCGTGTCCCTGCCCTGGCTAAAGGGGGCTATTTCTGGCCCCTATAAGAGTACGGGGCTTACTGTAACAGCTGCACATTTTTCAGCCAGCACGGGAAGCATGGGAGGAAGAAGTGAGCGGCGGAGGGGAGGGGAGGGCGAGTATTGGCGGGCGGTGGTTGGTGGTTTGCGCATGAGGCTGTTCGCTGTTGACTCGACGGCCGGCGACTGACGAACCTGGAATGACGTCACGGCCCTCCGAGGGGATGGCAGACGCTCTCAGGAGTCCCACATAAAACGGGAGCTTACCGGGAAGAAGGTGCAGCTTCTGAGTTATTTTAGGTCCAGTTAATCCGCTTGCACGTTTCTTCCTCGGCTAATTATTTTAGTGCGTGCTGGTAACAAGATATCTCTCCCTACATCTCTCTCACTGCCGCCTCTTGCTGCCTCTGTTGTTCACTCTTCATTCCCTCTTGCTCCCATCTTGGGGAATCATCTCCTTCCCCGTTTTTTGCTCCCTCCGTCTCCCTTTATCTCGTCCTCTTCCTGCCGTCTAGTCACTCTGCACTGCATTATTCCCCCACAGAAAAGGCCTATACACAATCCACTCCACTCTTTAAGCCTCTCCTTATCTGACTGCCAGGCCTACAGCTCAATGCTCCTCTCTCTTTTCTGTCCTTCCTCCTTCTTCTCTTTTCTCAAACTCGGTGGTGGACATCTCTCTCTCTCTCTCTCCTCCCCTCCTCCGTCTTCGCCAATGATCGACGAACGCCCTCTCGTTTGCCCTTCAAATGCCACCTCCCCTTGAGGCATGTCCCCTTGCCAGCCAGCCTTAGTTCCTTCCGTCCGTCCTTCTCCGGCCCTTCACTGTCTAGTTTCTGCTGGTTCGAAAGCCAAAACGCTCTCCTCTGCCTCCCACTGGCAGGGGAGAGAAAACACATGGGCAGAAATCCGCCTTTTAGCCCTCACTGAAGACGCCAAAAGGAAACTTATAATCTAGCTAGCTCTCTTCCGGTCGCAAAGTCCGATGCATGTTTTATGTATATGTGTGTCTTGTTACAGAGTGATGAGATTTGATATAAAGCAAAAAAAAAAAAGTTCAAAACAAGCAGTACGTCACCCTAAGTAAAGCAAATAATGTTTTTTTTGGAGACATCTTTTCACATGTGTACGCAAGAGAACACGTGGAGAACATGTTCGTCAAGGCAGGATAGAAATATAATTGTATTCTGTGGGATGTGCCATTATGTTTCTGACCTTGTGTGTTATGGACGGTGCTGTGTGGCTGCCTCTTCGGTTTGTGTTTTTATCCCGAGACGAAGGGGGAAATCGAGGATGTTGCGCGGTGTCAGAGAGAAGATGAGGGATTGGATAAGGGTTTAGTTAGCCTCAGATTCCGCACGACGTGGCCGGGGAGAGAAATAAACGGGCGAGGGAGGCGCTTGCTGTGGGAGAAAGCTTTGGAGGAAGAGACTTATCTGGCATGTTAAGCCCAGCCAAAAATCCATATGTATCACTTCAGATAGAAGCTGCTCTTCCCCCAGAGCTTTCTTTTAAAGGTGCTCCTTCCCCGCCAACCCTGAGCCAAAGATGGATTGCGATCTGCGAGCTTGATATGCAGGGTGGATAGTGTAGACTTGAATGTTCCTTTAAAATTCATAACAGGAATGGAGGTGCTAAAAAAAAAATCCACACTTTATAACTGGAGACCTGTTTCACTAGTCGCTGTTTAACTATCCAGTCAAATGGATTAGTTAGAATGTTTTCTTCTTTTTCATTAAAAAAAACACACAAAAAAGCCACACAGACACCTGACATAAGACAAACAGCATTAAAAAAAACACATTGCCTTTTAAAAGTGTTCTGTTTGTATGTATTATGAACTGTATTAGACGTAGTTGCACGATAACATTCCTTCATTTGAAATGACTGGAGCTTCTTACATTTTTTTACATTTATTTTAATGCTTGTGATAATTCCACTGCACTAACTACTTTCGATGACTCTGTATAATATGTTGTAAAGAGAACGTAAATAAAAATAAAAGCCCCAAGCGCAGCTGTTGTCGACAGAAGACAAAGTAAACCCAGCTGAAAATGCTTCCAGTTTCTATTTCTTTTTCGTCCAGATCCGAGTCCTGAGCGTTGTGTAAATCTGTCACGGACGTCTCTGCCAAGACATACTTTCATGGATGTTTCAAAAGAAGAAAGTCCCTCCAAAATGAGATGGCCACCATTTGAAATATTTGAATATGCTGAGGGCTGGCGTGAGAGTAAAACTCATTATAGAATAGCACTGACCTTATTAGCCATCTGAAGGCTTTTGCATACACAATAAGAACATCTTAAAGGATGTCATCTGGAGGTTCTAAATGCAGAACAATGACCACCAGGTGTTTTTTCTTTTAAACACTGAGAGGAATTCAGTTTTGGAATTAAACTTTGAGGCTCTTCTGCTCCGAAGTGTCACACGAGGACTAAAATGGTTTTCGCCTCGTCATGCCCTTTGATACCTAACTAGCAAAAAGTAATGATGATGAACTGGAAATAAACGCTCGGCAACCATTTACAACCTTTTCACATTTTACAGGGTGACAAAATGAGGTGTAATTTTCATAAAGGCTTAATTTTTTCTGACTTAAAGTGCAGGTGGGGTTCAGTGAGCATACATAACCTTTTCAGAAATGCTCTGCTTCATATTCAGACACAGTACAACCACAGCCTTAAGCTGATTCACGCTGACCTGCTCGGCTGCAGCACTTGACTGACCGGCTCACGCTGGAATATTTTCATGCAATACTATTTTCCAATGGAACTGTAATTTCTTAAATAACACAAACAGATGCAAAGGTGAATTTTTTTGTTGGAGCATGTTGGGAAGACTCCTATATGCTTTCTTCCTGAATTAAACGGTGCAGATTAAGCCGCATTTCTGCCCCAAATTAGTTGCCCAAAGCTTGTTTTTTTACAATCTGGCTGACTGAATTTCTGCCATATCGGTTGTCTGAAGTAGAGTTTGGGGAAGCAAGATCTCTCTCAGCCAATCGATTAGACTTAGAGTGAGTTAGAAATGTTGGTCAACAATTTCCACATGGCTGCCATCCAAACATCCATTATGTAGGGAGCTTGTTTAAGCGTTATTGGAGTTGTTTTCTACATGTTGTGGCTTAAAACTGGTCTTAGCTTCACTGCAGACCAGACAGCACTTATTGTCTGAACTTTCCAACTTTCTGCAGATTCATGTTTTACTTTTTTTTATTTGCTTGCACAAAGTTGCACCTACATTTTTTTCGGTTTTTCCAAATCACAGAGGATTCAGCTGTCTTCTTGGAAACGGATGATCAGCACCAGGAGACTCTTGATGGACAGCGATGACCCGCAAAAACCGTAATCGACAACGGAGGCAGTCGAGTTTGCATTTCCAATTGACAACCCAGCATGTTATGCAATTTCTACAGATGTGTTATTACCTGTGCTGTGTACCTACTTCATCCTGTAAAATGACAGGATTTTAAAAGGAATTTCTGCGATAGCATAAGCAAAAGAGCAAACACTGGGCTGATCTCTTGTGAGTCATCTCAGATACCTCGTAAGAGCCTCGTGTTTTGGCATTTAAAGCTGTATAAATATCACTACAGGTCAGATGTGAGGAAGTAGTTATTGAACCAGATTTATCATGTCATACTTGGAGGGATTTTGAATATACATCCCTCTGTTTCTCTCTTATGTCTTATTTTAGATCGGAAAAAAATAACTGATTCTCGTTTTTTAAATTACAGGGGAAAAAAAAGTATTGATTGACCTTTTGAGGGGAAAAGGCTCCAGGCTAAAACCTCAAATGCAAAATTAATAATGTTCCTTAAGTCTAAGCATATCTGGATATTATTGTAACTCTAAAGCCCTCATGGGTGATTTTACTAAAAGAATCTGTCAACATAGCAATCTGTCACCTAACAAATATAATGCAATGTTATTTTTTATTTGTGCAGAAAAGCCAAATAAAACTTGTCGTGTGAGTTAACACAAAATGCAACGTCAATAAAAAGCACAGAGCGTCTCCCCAGCTTTATAAATTGTTTGGAATATCAAGCTTGAGCTACGGTTAGTTAGCCTAGCTTAGCAGACTGCTAGCCTGGCTATGGGGTGTCCAGTTTGTACATAAGTGCTGCTAAAGCCACAAACTGTAAGTTTCCTGCCTTTGTACAAACTTCTTTCTGCATGACACGAGACACTTCTCATTTTCCAGGTTTGTCTTGTGTACGTTAATGGTTTTGGTTTTGCAATAAAACTGCTGAACTGTTGATCTGTGACATACAAATATGTAGCAGAACAAAGAGACGTCCATGGCAAACCGTTTAATAGTCAGACTGGTTGTGTAAATATCTGTAATTCAGTTCTTCCCGGTCAAAAAGAGCATTTTAGTTTTCTACAATGACTTTCCTCCTGAGGATAAATGTTATCACTTTTGTACCATTGCTGTGATGGTTTTTCATTACAGATATCTACCAGTCAGCTGCAGATATCCACAGTGTGAATTGCAGATATCTGCAGCTGAATTATGACGAGTATTAATTCCAGTTTTACAGTTTAATTCTGACTCGTCATTATTCCAGCTCAAGATATCTTTAATTCGCTTCAATTTCAAGACGTCCACATTGTATTTTTTTTTTTTTTAGATATTTTAAATTAAGACTAAACTTGTCAGATTGATGTCGATATCTCAAACTTTAATTCTGCCCGGTCGAAATGTAATTACAGATATCTTGAATTAGAGTTTTGACTCAGCAAAATGACGCTGCAGATATCTGCAGTTACATCAGAAGCTACAGTTAAAGGGAGAAGACGTAGTAAAGCACTGCAGCTGTGACCACACTTGACATGTTTTACCACCACGTCAGAGCAGCCTGAGGTTGAAATTCTGGTAAATTTCAGCCGTAAGTGTGTGAGGAACAGAACCCCTCGCTGAGAAGCTTTTTGTACTTCACAGCGTTTTTGCAGCATCGTATCCACCACAGTGGTCGTCATTACTTCTTATAACACCTCTCAAATAATCTGCTGGTAGCTTCACATGAGCAGCATCATGCACCACATGCAGACCAGACGTCACGGCGTTTCAAATATCTGTAGCTGATCGTTTGACTGGTCCAAATTGAGTTGTTTTTACGATTCGCTACAGATATTGCACTAAATTTTTAATCTGATGACCACAGAGTGCTCTCATGCTAAATTATTCTGACACATTTTAGAAAACGAGAAATGGAACAAAGTCGGCGATCCCCTTGACCATCATGTGTGTGAGGCCGTTGTTTACATTCAGACCTCATCGTTTTCCATACATCTCGTGATCTGACTGTTGAAGCCAGCAGACAGAAGATCCGTATCAAAGCTTTTGTTCAGATTTCACATCATCCGTTTCATCAGACACAAGATCTAACGAACAAATACGACTTTTTCTCACTTACATATATCATCATTACAGTTTAGAATTAGAGTTTTCCGTCTCCTAAATAATTATCATCCTTATATTTTACATTCTATTGAGCATATCTATTAAATGTATGTAAACCCATAATGACTAAGACCTGCTTGGACATACAGTACACTCAATTATAATTTCTAACAATATCTGGGGAAAAAATCGCTGAGTAATTCTGACTGATTGAAATGCTGTTATTATCCATCCATCCATTATCTACACACCGCTTAATCCTCATTAGGGTCATGGGGGGCTGGAGTCTATCCCAGCTGGCTCAGGGTGAAGGCAGGTTCACCTGGACAGGTAACCAGTCTATCACAGGGCTACACTTAGAGACAGACAACCAAGCACACTCACATTCACACCTACGGACAATTTACAATCACCAATTAACCTCAACATGTTTTTGGACTGTGTGGGAGGAAGCTGGAGAACCCGGAGAGAACCCACGCTGCACGGGGAGAACATGGAGACTCCACGCAGAAAGATTCCACCAGGACGCGAACTGGCGACCTTCTTGCTGCGAGGCAACAGTGCTACCAACAGCTCCACCCTGCAGCCCCGCTGTTATTATCTCTAATCCTAATTGTCAAATGTAGCTGTTAAATCCTAAAATGCTTGCTGTAGAACTCAGCGCTTGTGAATTCTGCTATTTTCTTTGCAACTAATGATTTTTTAAAATCATATTTTAATCTTCTTGTTATCTTCTACTAGTTTGCTTGACTATTTATGCATTATTTTCTTCTGACCAAAAGTCCAAAATGTTTGATTTTCTATTTCATAAGACAAGAAAAGAAGCAAATTTCCATGTTTGAGAACATGGAGCTATGAAGTTGTTTCCCTTTTTTGCTTGAAAACGACTTAATTTATTGCATAAACTGGAAAACAATTTCCTTTCAACTCACTAAATGACTAATCATATCAAGTGCAGCATTGTGTTATTTCTTCTTTTAAAACTTACAGAGTCTTTCTTTGGAGGCAGGAGCACTTTACAGCATTAGTTTCTTTTATGAATTGACCCACAGCGCTGACATTATCTCTTTGTAAGATAAGACGCTCTAATAAGAGGCGTTCACGTTATTTAGGTCATGTGCTGGACTCCGAACAAACACGCTAACATATCCATTAAAAAAAAAGACTTTTACTGAGAAGAAAGCTCACTACAGGAGCTTATAGCTACACCAGAGTAATGCAGCTCATATAGGATTAGAAGCATTGCTGTGTAGAAGGAACCCGAGCGTATAATCAACTCTAAAAGTAATTGGCAACTAGTGAGCAGACATTTGGTTCTTACTTGACACAGGATCATTGGCTGCATCTGTTGTGTGGGCGCAGTGGTCATGACCTGCCTTATGTTCTAAATATGTTTGGCTTTTAACTAATTACAGCGCCGCGTTGGCTACCGGTCTCTTCAAAACACAGAATATAAGTTGTGTTGGCGCCTCACACATGCAGTATATCAGGGTGTTTGTTTGCAAAGAATGCAGAGCTTATAAATCCTGAGGGCTCAATATCAGTCATTCATTATCACGTTAGTTATAAATACTGTATGTTGTGTAGGGAGCAGGGCTGCGTTTGTAGCGTTGACAGCGCTGATTGATGGGCTGTTGTTCTCTCGGGGACCATGTGTGACGGGGGGGTGGTGGGCATGTTAAGCAGGTGCAGGTACAGAGTATGCGGCGGTGGTGGTGGTGGGGGTGTGTGTGAACAAATACCCTGGGAGAGGGTTGTTGGTGGTGGAATGTGTGGCTCAGGTTACCCTCACAGGAAGGGGGACGTTTGGTTGCGGGGGTGCCAAGCCCAAAAAAAGCCACCAGTGTCTTCCCCACGTGGGGGCGGGAGGTCTCAGCTGTGGCCCCCTGAGCTCCGTCCTTCACATCATAACCTGCCGACGTCTGGACTTCCAGCATGGGCAGAGGGGTGAGTGCTCTTCTTTTTATTTTTATTTAACAAAAAAAGAAACTACACAACTCAGACAGAAGCTATTCAGTGTGTCTCCATGAATTTTATCACACAGAGGCTTATCTTTTGTTTCCTGAGCTGCATGAATGAGCATAACTCTGTTTCTTACTCTGGGCGTTTGTACAGTAGCAGCATATGGTGTGGACATGCATCATGGAGGAGCTTTCAGGAATTGATATCTGCCTTTTTTTTTTTTTAAAACAGAAAAAAAAAGAGACAGTAACGTGTCAGGATGATGGCTTCCCTCCTCGCTTTGCTGTTTATTTGGGCAATTACGTAATTTTGTTTTTATTCTCTCCATCAGGCCCATTCAATTTAGCTTTATGGGGAGGACAGCGTGGTAATCTTCCTCACACACAGTGGGGGAAAATTGCTATGCCAGACACATTTCCGGCACCCCCCCGCCTCTCTTTGGCTGTTTTTTGATTACTTTTTTTTTTTTTCCACCGTGTCACTCGCTCTCCCCCCTTCGTTCCTCCCCCCTTCATTCCTCCCCCCCTTCACTGACATGCACACGTGCTGCTAAGGGGGGAGACTGACAGCGGCAGATGATTTCCATGATGCACCGTTCTCCCAACTGTTCATGACACACAGCCGCTTCCCGCTCTCACAAATAAGGAAGTGGCGCTATGTGGAGAAAAAAAATAAAAAATACAAATTTGCCAACAGTGGCAGGAGATTGAAATGAACCAGCGTACACAAAGTCCATTGTGCTCACACTGATGCTTGTAATATGAATGTAAATGGAAAATGCACAATATGGCAACCAAGCGTGTGACTTTTCCAGCTCATTCTTGGTGAGGTACAGTAATCGCTCTCTGTCTTTTTCCCCAACAGTTCGGTGCCGAGAATGGCGGGAAGAGAAAGAAGAAGGACAGGGATTTGGATGAGCTGAAGAAGGAGGTGGCCTTGGTAAGAAAAACAAGCTGTCACTGCTGCAACCCACACTCACTCTGTGCCGTGATTGATTCCATCGCTGCTGCTCTCAAATGATCCCCAAATAGCGTTACGCCAAAGACACTAGGTTATTTAACAAGGCTGTAAATGAAAACAGTGGCCCGTAAACAAAATGGCAATCCAAACCTGTTTAGCGTAGTCACTTGCAGACGGGGTTCGCTGCCAGCCTGTCATCTCCTATCTGTTCAACCACCCTCTGGCTGCTCGTCTTTGTACTCAGAAAAGATCCTGAATAATTTGTGGGCCACCAGCAGTGTAGTGCAGAGTTTTTGTCTTGTGCTCGAGCTGTAGCGCTTTGAGGTGCTGTCAAAACGCAGCCGAGCAATGTCCATGAAAACTGGGCTAAGTTTCGCTGCTGCGCGCTATCTCTGATGAAGTAGCTCTTGTCAATTATCAAGTCGGCCTGTGACTGATTAAAGGAAAAGAGTCCCTTTGATACCGTCAACACTTAGAAGTTTTGTGATTAAGCGTTAGATTTTGTTGCTTTTATCAGTCTGCCTCATATCCTTCTTCACTTAGTGATTTTCTACATTTTTTTTCCTCAAGAGAAATCCTTTAAAGCTCCATCAGACAATGGCTGATCAATACCGGGTGTAAGGCCGTATAAATAAAACCTAACTACCTAACTGTTTTGCGAAAGCCGGGGTGTGTCGCTGATTGCCATCCAAATCACTTGCAGCCAACTGAGGCTGCTGCTGTTGGCGAAGAAGAAACTGATGGATTCCTCGCTGTCTCACTGTCGAGCGAAGAAAGCAGCCCTTCAGCTGGTGACACCATCCTGACAGCTAAAACTTTTGTTACCACCTCCAGTGAAAATGTCTCAGCATTTGCACAGGAATAGTGGAAATATAGAACCAGTGAAGGAGAGAACGGACCCGCAAACACAACATACAGTGTTCCTATAGTGTTTCAGAATGGGTTTGCAGCATGTCCTGTTGGCTCACATTTTTAGTCACTCTTTGACCTCTTTCGTCATGAGGGATGAATCATATCCTGCATATAAATCCACCAGATCCCTGTTAGATAGATGAAGTATTTTTCAAGAAGATGGGCTATAATGCGTCGGTGCTGTGCCCTCATGGTGGTCTTGACCCTCGCCCTGGTCACTTTGCAACAGCAACCACACGTAAAGCTTCAGATCAACTGTGTTGCTTTAGGATAACATGTGCAACTTCTCACATAAATTCTCAGTCATTGGCATAAATAACACATTTTTATCTTTGCAGGATGACCACAAAATAGCTCTCGATGACCTGGGAAAACGCTATGGAGTGGACCTCACACGGGTAACAGCAAACACACAAACCTTTATTTACACATGCACACAAACACACAAGAAAGAGGAGCTGTAATATCCCAAATAGAGATATAATCTCTTCTTCCCTTTTTACTAGAAAGCAGCATCCAAACCGAGACCAAGCATTACTTTGGTCAACTTAGACTCGCCGCAGCGTCCCCAGCTCACCTTGAGTCTGATTCATCTTTAATCCCTTGCACACACAAACAAACTTACACACGACGGTGGCAAAAAAAACGTTCCTACAACACACTGGCACCGACAAAGACATCACACCAGCCTTTTAGCTGTAACCACATTTGCTGCATACCTTAACTTTGTCTTATCTTTTTAAGATGAAAAAAAATAGAAACCATGGAGCACAAGAAATAGTACAAGCTATAAAAATGTCAAACATTTGCAAAGGCTCACAAGAGAGTCAATTTGTGTGGCTATCCACTAGAATGAAATGATAGTATTTCAGGTATTTACATAGATTTTCTGTAAATCAGACCTTGACACTGCCAGGCAGAAAATCAGGGAGGAAAAAATACGTTCAATAAAATTACATCCAACAATTTTAAAGCGGGGAACCTTAGACAAGAGGAGTCACCCAGTTTATTACACTTGTGGTGTTAAATAGGCCAGGCTGGAATACTTGATGTTCTGCAACTGTAGCAGTAAAATTGCTTTTTAAGCCACGGTGAAAATTGGGCCGTTGTGTTGTAATAAGATTCCCCACACAGGCAGAAAAGACATTCACTCCTAAAAATTGCTCTTCCCCAGGGCATGACCAACGCCAGAGCCGTGGAGGTTCTGGCCAGGGACGGTCCAAACGCTCTGACTCCTCCTCCCACAACCCCGGAGTGGGTCAAGTTCTGCCGTCAGCTGTTCGGCGGCTTCTCTGTCCTGCTCTGGATCGGTGCCATCCTCTGTTTCCTGGCCTACAGCATCCAGGTGGCCACTGAGGACGAGCCACCCAATGACAACGTGAGAAACCACTTGTAAAACATGCACGCCTGAGTAGAAGAACGCACTTCACATAATAATCACGCGCTCTTGTGGTGGGAGATGCATGAAGGCAGTTACAGCCTAAACACAATAGACACACACTGACACACAGCATGCAGGGACAAGCAGCTCCCGTACATACATCCATCAGACACCTTGTTCAGACACACAACGTTTGCCGAACTCTATTTCCAATGTTCACACAAAATAATCTTCCAGATCTGATTTAAAAAAATAAAATAATCTTCTATATCTGGTTGTCTTGACATCAATAATTACATACAGTTTGGTAAATGTATGCAAAAATCACATATGAAATGAATGTCTGAATGCAGAATAGCCTTTTTTTCATCAGAGGAAGCTCTTTACATGTGCTAAACCAATTTTTTTGTAGCTCCAGAGCGGCCGTTGATGGCTGATATGTATCTGCACCTTGATGTTATCGACTCAAATGTAGTAGCACCTGCTAATAACAATATTCTCCTGAGGGAACACCGGTAGGAAATTAAAAGATAGTCTTCCTTGCTGTATATGATAATATTCAAATAGTTTTGCATCACAGTTGTCTTTAACTCTGTGCTTATGTCCATGCGTTTAAATCAATAGATCTTAAATTACGATGCGTCAGATTACATGTCAGTTTGATCGGGCCATCTGCTGATTAGACAATAGCATAATTCCACTGAGAATCTGAATTCAAATATTAAAATGCTGCAAAACTCACAGCATTTAAAAGATGCGCTGCATGTTCTACCCTGAAATAAACCTCAACCAGGCACCAGAGGCGTCAAAACACTTTGGGACAAGACGCATTTCATTTTTACCCGTATGCAGCTCTTATACGTACACGTTCACGTTAAACCGTCTTTCAGGTCCAGTAAAAATGAGTTGTTTCTGTCTCTGGTTGTTGCAGCATCGTCCCACATCAATATTGACTTTGCAATTTGGTAAATTTATGCAAAAAATCACATATAAAAAGGTCAAATCAGTGTTTGAACGCAGTGCAGTGTTCAAGATTACATCAGAGGCAGCTCGTCACACATGCAAAACCAGAGGGGCCGTTGCCGATGGATTTGTATTGATTAAAACCATGATATTAATCAAATTGCTGTTCATAACAATACTCAAATAGTTTTGCATCACCGTTATCGTATACTGTGCACTTACTTATGCATACTAATATATATAGTGAAAGGAGAGAAAGTCAACAGAGCTTAAATTACTGACTTTTTTCTGTTATAATTTGCATGTAATCAACAGAATTTGTCATATTATGCTTCAGTTTGATCGTTCCATCTGCTGATAAGCTGTAATGTACTGTAATCCCACAGAGAATCTAAACTAAAGTAATCACATACCGCAAAGCGAGCAGCATATAAATGTACAAATACGACGACGCACTTCATGTTCTACCCTGAACCAAACCTTAACCTTCGGTCAGGGACCAGAAGTGTCAAAACACTTAATTTTGGTTGGATTTTCTTTATGTGTCCTTTTTTTTTCTTTCTTGCGGGGGTATTTTTATATGACCTTTACTTAACAAGCACAGCCTCTTGAGATGTTAACCTCTTTTTCTGAGAGTCCTGGCTGAAATAACAGCACACCCGGTCACATTAAACAGCACAGAGACAGAATCCACAGACGGGAAAATGGAATAAATAAAGAAGCGGTGAACAGAATAGAAGAAAAACTCAAATTCAAAGGCATAAAACACATTTAAACTTTACTTTTTTTTTTGGTCCTCTGAAAGCACACACTGACACAGAATCCTTCCCCTCAGTTAGAGAGCGTGACGTAAAGACAACCGCTGACACTGGCACCAGTCCTGGCTTCAGCACGGATAAATACGCAGACCAACCACTGTGCAAACGCAGCCAAGCGCCACCCATGCTGCACATTATGGCTCTGACTCATTATGCAATCACCGCCGCGCTCTCTTCAAACTCCAGTCAGCATTAAAGCCTTACATAATATACAGTAACGTACAGTAGATAGACACACGCACGTGCGCACGCGTGATAACTTTAATCTCCCCGCGATTTAATCTCCTCATTCAATACTGAGTATGTACAGCTGGATGCTCTGCTGAGCTACTTCAAAGCCCAGACTGCCTGCAGCTTCGGCACTTTGAGCCTTTGCAGTATGTACAGGCAGTTATTTAAGATGAAAATCCGCCCTGAGAGCACGTCGCGCACTGTCTTTGTCAGATAAAAACTTAATTTTCATTATTTTAATGCGTTTGTTCGAAGCAAAAGATTACATTTAGCACTGGGAGAGCTGCGGAAATTACACAATTTGTTGCCTTTTTCAAATTTGCAATCTGAACACGAGGCGTTTATTTTATTCCCTTGACCTGTTAGAAGCTTTTGTAGATTTAGATGTGTCACCTGCCTGGACAGATGTCGCTCCTGTAATTCTGTGCAGCTGCCAAACAAGAATAACTGTTGTCTGAAGCGAAAAGAGGCAAAAAAAAAAAGGCAGCAAACTGAGCACTGAATTGGAGGCAAATGCTGTAAACACTGACAAGTGATTTTCTGAGGGTACAGATGTATTTCCTGGTTTAGAAGATTTTGCACAGGTACAGTTTAAAAAAAAAAAAAAACACTCATTCAAGTGTAAAAGAGGAAGGCGCTCTGTTGTTGCTGTCAAATGAAAGCAGCACCTTCCAAAAAAGCAAACTTTTCAGGATTTAGGAATTCTATTTTCCAGGAGTCCAAAACATACAGCACACCAGCTGGCAGATGCTTTCATCCAAAGTGCCTGGCTGTCTTGTTTGCATCAGTGAGAGCTGAACTCATAACAGTCTTTTTTTTTTTTTTTTTTTTTTTTTCCACTGCAGAACTGAAAATAGACGCTGAAAATGAAATAAAATGAATTCTATGCTTTCACATAACCAGCAGCAAAGCCAGGCAGCGGTTCAGCAGGAGTCTCTCGGTGGCCTCACAGATCAGAGTCTCAGCTCTCGGTTTTCTGGGTCTGGGAGACAGATGCTCACTTGGACTAACATTCAACGAACCGTCCAAGATGACAAGAATAGTACACGAGAATTCAGCTCTTGGTTGGCCTTTTCTTTTTAAATCTCCTGCTCAAACCAAGAGCTTCCCTGAGCTTTTTTCTTTTTTTTTTTTTGCTTTTAACCCTTTTCCTGCACTGTTTTAAAACCAGCTTGAAGTCACTAAATCCCCATTTCCTACGCTTAAACGCGCCTTACAATACATGAACCCATCCTAAGTCGATAATGACGCCGGCTGCCCCCGTGGCTCGGCTTTGCTCCCGTTTTGCAGCTCTATCTGGGCGTGGTGCTTTCAGCTGTGGTGATCATCACCGGCTGCTTCTCCTACTTCCAAGAAGCCAAGAGCTCTCGAATCATGGACTCCTTCAAAAAAATGGTGCCACAGGTAAGTTGATGCATTTGGTGTTTGGTGTAGTCCCAGAGCTTTCTGAATCAATAAGCCATCCCTCAAGTAGGGCTTACACACTCACTTGAGTGGAAACCTAATAAGCTTGCACAAAGGAAGAATAAATGTTTGAGCCAACTTTGGATTGTGAGCGTGTTTGCATAAAAACTCCCCTCGCGTTATCCACCTCTAGCACTTCGATTGCCTAATTCTTTAATCTATTTAGGCTCTCGTGCCTCTTTCCTTACCTGTCTTTTCTCTCTCTCCTTCCTTTTTCCTCTATCGCTGCCATTCACGTACCTCTACACCCTCTGGCTCCTCTTCTTCTTTTTTTTTTTTTTTTACATCTCTCTACTCTCTCCTCATCTGACTAAATCCTCTCTCTGTTCCCAAACTCTCTCTCTCTCTCTCTCTCCCTCTTCCTCACACTGCCTCCCCCTTCTCATGTCTCTCTGCCTTTTCTCTCCATGCCAGCAAGCCATGGTGATCCGGGAGGGGGAGAAGATGCAGATCAATGCAGAGCTTGTGGTGCAGGGAGATCTGGTGGAGATCAAAGGGGGAGACCGCATCCCAGCTGACCTTCGAGTGATCTCCGCCAGCGGATGCAAGGTAGGAGAGGAGGTGCTCGGCCGAGCCCGGGGAGGCCTGGAGGTCTCAGCGGGATTACAGTAGCTCAGCTGACTGGGATGATGCTATCGTACTGTTCCTTCTTTCTTCCTTACGTTCTTCTCATTTTTGTATTTGGCATTTAGGCCTTGCTGTCTTACTCACTTGCCTGTTTTTTTTATATCTTATTTTATTTTTAGCATTTACACCTTTACGATCTTACTGTAATTTCTTTCTTGCTTTTTCTCATTTTTCAGCATATTTGGCATTTTAGTCGTGTAAGTTTCTTTCTTTGCCTAATTGCCATCAAGTCAGTTATTTTTTTTGTTTCTTTCTTTCACTTTTGACATATCTAGCATTTTGGTAACATTTTTTTCTTATTGTTTCTTACATTTAGCATATTTAGCATTTAGTTAACTACGCAGTTTCTTTCTTACTTCTTTTCTTATACTTAGCGTCGTTAGCATTTAATTTATTATTTAATTAGTTTCTTTCTTTCATTCTTCAGCATATTTAACATTTTAGTAGTGAGTTATTTAGTTAGTTAGTTACTAAGCTAGTTTCTTTCTTTTGTTCTTTCTTATTATTAGCATCTTAAGACAGCATGTTAGTAAGTGAAGCCAATGCAAGTGTCTTTAGTTTTGTAGATACAGTCGTGACTTGACATTCTGACCCTTAACAATCCTAAACCTTGCTATCCGACAGGTTTTTAGGAAAACCGAACAAAACCTATTAAAAACAGCCTCAACATACCAACAGCCTTGGATTCTGACTCCGACATGACATTTTATGTCACAAATACGGATGACGGCGTATTATCTGACTGAACAATCCCACAGATTTACTTACCTTTGATGTCAACCGATGGGCCTGTGCACAAGCGCACCGGTCAATTAGGCGTAAAACCCAGCGATGAGTAGTGTTCTAATAATACACTAGTCCCGCTCATTGAGGGAGTTTGCACAACTAATTAAGTCGGTTTGCATCACTTTGTTAGTCAACTGCTCTACATGTGTGGAGCACAGGAAGGATGGGTTTGGTGCTGTGAAGGTCTCTGAAGTATTAAACATGTTTTGACACCTGAACAATTCTATGAACCCATACATACTGCGGTTGTATCGGGCTGATCAATCAGAGAAACAAACTGCTTCGATGCTGTTACACGCCAGACATCATGTGTAAAAACTGCATCTACCAAGTTTTTACCAGCGTTCAAGAAGTCACAGACCACACCGTGCACTGTCATGGACGTAAATCATCACAATATCATATACGTAGATAGTTTATTATAACAAATATAAACATTACCCTTCAAGCATCGAGCCCTCCTTGTATCTCGACCTCCATAAAAGATGGTTTTACATTTAGTGTTGGATTATCAAGTCACGACTACATTTAGTTGGAAACCTAAGGATTGGTTAATAAATTTATCCTGATGAAGAGTTAAGGGCACACCAAAGTTATTACAAACTGATTTGACAAAATCTGTCAAGCAGCCTTCAAAACATTTCACTTTGAATCAAACATTTCCTGTAAATCACTCCAGCTGTTGAAATATTTCAGTCTGGATCCAAGTGTTGCACCAACCGACCAGTCATAGGTCAAATAAAACTGACATGAGGTAATGTCTCACTTCCACCTATTTGATGTTAAATAAATATGTTGAATTTTCTCTTAACATACATATATTAAAGGCTTCACTTTTTCCAGTTTCTGTGGGAAACATTTCTCTTGAAAGGACGGTTTCCTGAATGGTGTTCTTATTATTTCAGCTCTTTTCTGCTGCCAACAAACAACATTTAGTTTTACATACACAAGTGTTGTTTGAGGAGCATATCTCATAAAGCCTTATGACTATATTTACATACTTTCATTTGTCTAACATGAATATGTTTTGCCGCCGCCACACATTCACCTTCAACCAAGATTTCTGAGTGGCTGGTTGTCTGCTCTCGATTTGCAGCTGAATTGGATTGTTCAAGCATGATTCTGCTCATACTGATGAGCAGGTGGAAGGACATTTTGTTACACACATTTTCTACCACTAGTTTCAGTCTTTAGTTCTGATTAATTTCTGTCTGCTTACTGCTGCTGTAGGAAGACATTTCTTTACATTTTCAGGCCATTCATGAGTTTTTCATGCTGGATTTTGTGTTTGATTTGTGGTACGGATTTGTGTTTCTATAAGGAAACATGAGAAAATTACTCAAACCAGACCTCAGTTTTGACGTGACATGAGTGTTTTATGGCTACACTTGTTGCTGCTTCTTGCCTTTCCACTCTGTCAGTCTCGCCTCTTCACTCTCTCCTGCTTCTGTCCCTCGGTCTCAGTGGATTAAACTCTTCTCTCTCGGTTTCTCTCTCTCTCCCCTGCGAAGGTGGACAACTCCTCTCTGACTGGAGAATCGGAGCCTCAGACTCGCTCCCCAGAGTTCACCCACGACAATCCTCTGGAGACTCGCAACATCTGTTTCTTTTCCACCAACTGTGTCGAGGGTCAGTAGGCCACATCTGGCCCGAGATTGTCTCTTATCGCCTCTAAATGTCTCTCTGTAAGCCATCTGCAGAACAACATCGCTTTGCTTTGCCAGCCAACCATGAATGGTGTTTCAGTGCGCAACACGTAAGACCTTCTGTCCCGCCGTCCTACAACACAGTGTGCAGTTACTCAATGATGAATGTGTGAGGATTAATAATGAGTGTTCCCATTTAAGACCGAACCGCTGGGAATTTCAGCTGGTCAGCTGCTGTCAGTCATCAAAAAGTGGTGCAGCAGGCATTTCAATTAGTTTTTCATGTGAGAATCTACCACTTCATCAGCATCTACATCTAAATTTTAATGGCAGTTCATCTTGAAATTAGATTACATTCATTATAAACACATCTTTATCCACGGACGAAGCTGCCAAGGTGGTATAGACGTTAAAATGAGCTTTTTTCAGATTATTTTTTTTGGCATTTTTGCAATAATTTGATAGTTACAGTGGAGAAAGGGCAGAGAGAGAGTAGGGAGTCACACCGGAGACTCACTGCTTGGGGGTATTTATGTCCATGTGGTATGTGGCTTAACCACAGTTGCCCCATTTATTTTTTTTGCAGCACTTTTAGGATTTTTTTTCGAGTTGACCTAAAAGCTGAGGTTTATAATTGGGTTGCATCCAGTCTTTGAACCTTTTCCACCTTAAAAGTCCTTGAACGTGGTCCAGTGCGTGGCACATTCAATAAAGAGGCCACCTACCATGATTAAAATGATTGAAGCGCTGCTATGTTTAATTTTTATTGCATCAAATTTGAGAATTTCGAGAGAAGGCTAACAAGCATTGGATTCATTGTTGTATGGCTGTTTTACTCTCTAATTTATGGTTTTGATTTGGCAGATGTAAAAATGTCCGTTTTGTTCACTGGAGTTTTTCAGTTTGGTGTCCGACTTGGTGATGAGGATAAAGTGACGCTTATATTTTATATATATACACTAATTAACAGAGGCCAAGGTTTTGCAGTTGTGGAGCTGTTACTCATTACATTTTTGAATTTCTTTCCGGTGGGAATTATGAGAATATGTAATATAAATCCTTTCAGAAATGTGTGCGCTGGTTTATTTTCAAACTGTCATCAGGAGTGAAAATATATGTTGAAGCTATTTTTAGTCGGCCAGCAGATGGGAATGAAGCTCAGCTGATCACAGCAGCAGAAACAAAGTCATGGATGTTCTGGATAATCCACAGTCTCCATTGGAATTCATTTCAACTAATAAAGTAGTCATTTTTAGACACTTCTGATAGCAAGATCTCAGTCCAGCATCTGCTCAGTCGCTACAACCATCAGTCACTGGCCAGCACCTGTAATTCACCGTCATCTATCACTGCTCTGTATCTCGCCATCATCTCCCCATCAAGCCTCCATCCTGTTTACAAAATGCAGCACTCAGCTTCTGCAGTGTTTTCCGCACTGTTAACAATCATTCGTCCTTTTATGCATCGCTCAGAGAAAACAGATCGCCCGACTGAAAGCTGTAGCTCACAGCTTGTGACCTGTAATCTCATGACATGGTGTTTAAAGAGCTGTCTGCAAAAAGAGAACAGGCGTCATCTGAAGAACCCTGATGCCTATTTGACTAACTCCAGTGACACGTTCTATAGAGCAGCTATTGAGGTGATGAATCATCCAAGCGTTCCTCCTTTAACACTTTGAATTCCAAGCAATTTATAAGGCTCTTTTTTTTTTTGTACTTCAATATAAAGTCCTTGACTTCTGTGGTAACATCATAACCATGACTAGATATAGAGAGAACTCAAAACCAATTTATAATTCCATACATGATAAAAATGTGATGGTAAAGTTCAACATTTTCCAAGTGCCTACAGGTGTTACCAACACAAAACAGTGACTCTACATGTAATAAATGTTTCACTGGTCACATCTTTAATTGGTTTGCATGCCTGTTCATATCTACTATGTGTTAACGCAGTTTCAGCAGAAAAGTCTCAGCATTTTTGTCACACGACTGTTGGAGCTGATTTGTAGCTGAATCCCTAAAAGAACATTATTTGGGATTTTTTACAGAGTCTGATTCGCACAAGCAACTTATTTTGGACAAATTTTTAACGAGACACGTAGAATAAAGTCATTTTGATTGAATATCTCAGTTGTGAGCTTTGATTTGAGAATGTTTCCCGACTAAATGGGACATAACAGATGCTTAGTTTGAAGACCATTGGGGAAAAAAATGGCCAAAAATGAACCGTTTGACTTGATCAGATTCTGCAGAAAATAAAACATTCAGAGCTCCTCTGTGCAACCGTGAAGCCATTAGGGGGAAATGAGTGAGTAAAACACTCAAGAAACAGGATTTAGGGGGTTAATTTGGAGGTTAAAATGATGCTAACGGTGAACATTTCCTCCCTCCAGGTACGGCCCACGGCATCGTGATCGCTACCGGCGACCGAACCGTGATGGGTCGCATCGCCACTCTGGCATCTGAGCTGGAGGTCCGTCGGACACCCATCAACATCGAGATTGAACATTTCATCCATATCATCACCGGCGTGGCTGTTTTCCTCGGCGTGAGCTTCTTCGTCCTGTCTCTCATCCTGGGCTACACCTGGCTGGAGGCCGTCATATTTCTCATTGGCATCATCGTAGCCAACGTGCCTGAGGGGCTGCTGGCTACTGTCACTGTGAGTAGTGTGTGTGGGCGTCTGTCGCTTTCATATCTCTGCACAGGCCTGTTCCTGTTTGTGCTGCAACATGACAATGTGCACTTCAGGTTACAATAAACTACATCCCCATGTAGCAGAGGCAGGTCATGATATTTCTCTGGAAATGGGAGGTAAACAGAGGCATGTGAGGAAAATCCTAAATTGGCTGCAGCAGATAAACATACAAAAAGGATAAAGAGTATTTAAAATGGTAATTCTGACAATTTTATTTACACTGTTTGCATAATTTAAAGTCCATTTTTTAAATAGAAAATAAGGAGCCACAGTAATCAGTCGCATGAACATAGAGGTGATTGTCGAGTGGATTGTCGTGTGTAAGTGTGTGTTTGTTTTGTAAATTCAGTAGCTGAGGAGTTCTGGCTTGCCCACAGTATGATTAACATGATTATTAATGCTTGCACCTCATTTAAATATGATTTTGCTGTTTTGTTTTTTTTAGCATTTGTGGGCACTGTAGCAAGCTGAACAAAACAACAACATATGACATATTATCATCTTGTAAAGTTACCAGAGAACAATATCTGGCATTCATTCTCCTTTTAGCTCAGATTTTGACTCCACCGATTCCTAAGAGACAATTATCGGACTCTGTGGTGGTTCTGAGCCCTTCCCACTAGACAGGCATTAGATAGTTGAGCTAAAAGTCATAATGCATTTGCGGTTTCAGCGAGGATCAGGACACCACTCTCCCATGTGAGTCCTCCTTTTAACTCTTTGTAGCACTAAATCCTGCTCTCATTGTGGACTTTATTACCGTTTATATCGTCTCACCTGCTCTGGCTGAAGATGATTGGGTAAATCTCCCATCACTGGATAGATTTTCTAAAGGTTGGGAATAGAACTAAGATGACGTACAGAAGTCTAATTTCCTCTCAAACCACTTGACTCACAATATGTTAAAAGTTTAATGTGGAATTTTTGTTGCATTGTGCCAAAAAAACAAAAAATACTGCCTACCTATCTTTAAATATTTGACTTTCTTCGGCAGCTAGCTTCTAACTTTGTGTATCAGCTGTTTGGTGCCGGTCAGGCATTAGCTCCAAGTCAGAGGCCATGGTTTCTTGATGGAAACCAGCAAAGGAGATCAAGTATCTTGTTGACGGGAAAACAGAGAGTGAGATGGACAGACTGGTCCATCAGCAGTAATGAAGGCGTTGTACCAAACCATTATGGTAAAGAGCTCTCAATTGCAGTCAATTTATGTTCCAACCCTCATCTATGGTCCTCAGCTCTGGGAAGTGACCAAAAGACTGCAGATACCAGCAGCTAAGATGAGTTTCCTCTGTTGGGTGGTTGAGGCCGAGGAGCTCAGACATCTGAAATAGCTCGGAGTAGAATCGCTGCTCCATTCATGTCGAAAGAAGCCACTTCAGGGGGGATTGGGCATCTGATTAGGAGGTTTTTGGAGGTTTTCCAAGTACGTTCAACTGGGAAGAGACCCCGGGGTAGTGCCCAGAACTCGCTGGAGGGCAACAACATCAACAACCTCCCAGCAGCAACCTACCACACTGAAAATATCAAGGTTTTGCAGAGAATTCGGATCGTGCAGTGAGGTCGTCCTGCTGGTTTTCTGCAGCGTATTATCCATTTTAATCACAAAGCTCATCCCCCTGTTCGCTAACATTCCACCACAACATCAAATGGATGGCTAGATATTGAACAACGCGACAGTTTGCGAGCCCGACAGCCAAAATAATGAACTAAAAGAGGCTCAGAAGCTGTGTAGAAGTGAGTAGAATGGCAAAATCATGTGTTAATTCTCTGCAAGCTTTTCGTCTGGAGCACCTGCTTTCACATTACACATGGCCCTTTGATCCATTGTTGACATAAAAATATTGATTAGTGCAGCTTTCAGCGTGCCAGTTGCATAGTCCTGATAGTGTGCCTGCTGGCGCTCTGTCATGGTTTACTGGCACATCTACATGGAACCGAGCCACCATCAATGTTATTAGTTACACCTGTGCTTTTCCTAACACCTAATTTACTCTCAGTGAACGTCGGGTGTAGCTCTAATGATGCTCCAGAACACAGCAAAGTGATTTATTACCAAATGTTGAAGTCGTTCAAACGTTGGAGTTTTCTGCAACAATAAACAGAGTGTGAGCAGAGGTGGATGCCAGCTGGCATTTGAAATGCCATCAGTCGACATTTCACTGGTCGCAGAAAATAAATTAACTTCCAATGGCTGGTTTCTTTAGTTGCTTTCGCTTTAAATACACTATGTGTGGAAATGTTTGTGCAGCTGTGACGTATTCGTGATCAGCTTGAATTAATGCGCGTCGACGTGTCTCTTGCAGCATATGGAAAACGTCTCTTCTTTGTATTTTACTTCCCTTTTCACCTGCTGTTAACCAGCCAAGCAGACACACACACACACATTCACGAGGCACCTGGCCCACGCATGGCTTCACATGCACAAACACTTGAACGCACCACTGCGTACGCACGCTCGCTCCTGTTGTCGACTAACAATCATCCGTCCTCGCCTCTCCTCCACCTCTATCTCCACCCCCACCCCCCTCACCTCCCGCCGTCCTCCCAGGTGTGTCTGACTCTCACTGCCAAGCGAATGGCCAAGAAGAACTGCCTGGTGAAGAACCTGGAGGCTGTAGAGACTCTCGGCTCCACCTCCACCATCTGCTCCGACAAGACGGGCACGCTGACCCAGAACCGCATGACGGTGGCCCACATGTGGTTCGACAACCAAATCCACGAGGCGGACACCACCGAGGACCAGACTGGTAAGACGGAGATGAAAAGAAAGAGAGGAAGGAAGGTGGAAAAGAGGAAAGACGGAAGCAGAGAGCAGAGTCATGAAGGGGAAATAGAGTGTGTGGGAATGCAGGGGGGGGAGTGTGACCACCTGCTGGAATTCATCTGTCCAATGTTCACGCCGCCAAACCGACGTATCTCTTCACTCTGCTGCTTGGATTAATTGAGCAGTGGGTATGCGGCGAGCAGAGCAACCCTCAGTAGCAAACACGTCTTTTTCCCAGTGTTCCTCAGCGCAGGCAGCTGCCGTGGAACCAATCAGATTCCTGTCTCCTACCAAACAGAGCAAAAATCAAGCCAAATTTCAAAGCAGCTTTTAGCAATAACCTAAAGGTTTGGCAGGGGGAAAAAACAGGTGCTCCATGCACAGCAATCAGTGTTGAGTCAGTGAGACAATTGTGCAATCACACAATGAAGAGCCAGTGGTGCCGACAACGGCCGAACAATACAGCCCAACGACTTTAACTGTAAAATGAGTCATTACAAGTAAAGAGCACAATATTTTACTCTGTGATGTATTCAAGTAGTACGGAGCCCGTCTGGTGACATCGATAAGACATAAAAATAACTCGTTCCCATGCATCAGTAAATCGTGGTCACGAGATATTAATGTGTGGGAACAACAGAATTATCACACAGTGTTTCATCGCAAGAGATCGCAGGATATCGGTGTCGTTCATTCCAAGGTTAAAATCAAATCAAATCAAAATACTCCATGTTTTCGCCCGTTATCCTTAATTGACAGCTGGTACGACCGCATTGTGAAATGTGCTCCACAACTTCTCTTGTTTCTTCATATTAGTAATGCGAGGCCACAATTTAACTATGTCATGGCCTCGCATTAATAACTCGTGGCCACGATTTACTGATGCGTGGGAACGAGTTATTTTTTATTTCTTATCGATGTCACCAGACGGGCTCCGTAAAGTAGAGATGCAGTTACAGTGACAATAAGAGATCATATTTACAGTTTTGGCCTAATTTTATATGGTTAAGATTTATTTATTTCTATTTTTTTTGATCAATTATTTCCTGGAATTTAACAAAATAGGGAAATCCATAAAAAAGAAAAAAAATGTAATTTTACAGTCTCACATTGTAAATTGTAGAAATACTGATTTTGATGCCCACATTATTTGCAGTTTTCGGCCTATTTTTATAGTTAACATCTAAATTCTCACTTTTTTTGTGATTTTACTGGCTAATATCTATATTTTAACAAGCCTGGGAAGATGTGTAAAATACCAGTTAAAAATATATTTATGATTTTTCAATTCGTAATATACATGTTTTTATTTTTATTGTTGATTTTAATACTTTATAGTTTTACAGAACAAATTCCTATTTGTAGAAGTCCTGATTTTAGATGCTTGTACTATTTACAGTTTTGGCCTAATTTTATATGGTTAAGATTTATTTATTTCTATTTTTTTTCATCAATTATTTCCTGGAATTTAACAAAATAGGAAAATCCGTAAAAAAAGAGAAAAAAAAAAAGTAATTTTACAGCTTCACATTGTAAAAGAATTAATTCCTATTTGTAGAAATACTGATTTTGATGCCGACATTATTTGCCGTTTTTGGCCTAATTTTATACAGTTAACATCTAAATTATCCCTTTTTGTGATTTTACTGGCTAATATCTATATTTTAACAAGCTTGGGAAGATGTGTAAAATACCAGTTAAAAATATATTTATGATTTTTCAATCCTTGATATACATGTTTTTATTTTTATTGTTGATTTTAATACTTTGTAGTTTTACAGAACAAATTCCTATTTGTAGAAGTCCTGATTTTAGATGCTTGTGCTATTTACGGTTTTGGGCCTAATGTTATATGTTTAAGAAATTATTTTTTTTATTTTTTATTTTTAGTGATTTTATCAATCATTTCCTGGGATTTAACAAAATAGGGAAATCTGTAAAATAACTTTTATTTATTTATTTATTTTTCTGATTTAGGAACAGTAAAAAATTGTGTAATTTTACACATTGTCTCACACTGTAAAAAATGAATTCCTATTTATAAAAATACAGATTTTTGATGCCTACATTATTTGCAGTTTTTGGCCTAATTTTATACAGTTAGCTAATAAATCTAAATTAGTACTTTTGTGTGATTTAACTAGCTAATATCTGTAATTTAATAAGCTTGGGAAAATGTGTAAAGTAACAGTTAATAGCACTGAATATACTGTTTTTTTGGCTGATTTAAATACTTTATAGTTTTACAGCCACACATTGTAAAAGAACAAATTCCTATTTGTAAAAGTACAGATTTTAGATGCTTATATTATTTACAGTTTTTGGTCTAATTTTGTATGTTTAACATGTGGATAATGACCTTTTCTGTGATATTATCTGTCATTTCACAGAACAGGTGCTCCATGAATACCAATGAGTATTAACAATTGTGCAATCATACAATAAATAGCCAGTGGTGCTGACAAAGGCCGCGCAAGTGCTAAAAAAAAAAAGCCAGTGTATTCATTCGGAGTTATTTTGCAGCTGCTGCAGGTTTTTTGGAGCCTTTTGCAACCTCGCCGTGTGGAGCTCAACAACTCCAGCCACAGTTTGCCACAGTGCACATACAGGGGCAAAGCTATTCTGTTTTCACAATAACAATGACACTGACCACTCTGGAGAGATAGGCAAATATGAAAAATGAATGCAGGCGCCGGCAGCAGAGTGAAGGTCACTCTGGGTTCGATTGGGTGGGAGGGGATGAAATTCTGACACAAGTAATTTTCCAAACATTTTTTTTTTTTTGAGACATTCTAGTTAAAAATGAATGACATTTTCCCAGACTGGGGAATTGAAAAATCCCTTTTGTGAAGGAAAAAGCGATTGCTCAACTTGACTGACCCCTATCCTGTTATTTAGCTACAACATCCAGTGTTACTCTGTGAACTGAGAGTTAAGTCTGTAGCATAAATACTGCATGAGCCCTACTTAAAAAAAAGAAAGAAGAAGAAGAAGAAAAGTCTAACACAGCTTCCTCTGCTATTCTCTCAGGTTCGGGTTTTGACAAGAGCTCTGGTACTTGGACTGCTCTGTCTCGCGTGGCTGGCCTGTGCAACAGAGCTGATTTCAAAGCCGGACAGGAGAGCTTTCCCATCCTGATGGTACGAACCTCCGACACAACAGCAGCTTTGCATTGAAGCTCCAGTCTCAGGAATTACCTTTCGCACTGAGGTGTACTGTTTAATCCACAGACATTGTGAGCAGCCTTCTCCAGATTCAGGTCAAATAATTCATGCACATTATTCATAAGACATGATTTTTGTTCTGCGTGACTCACAGTAGGGTGACGTTAACAACATCAGCCCACTGTCTGGTGAACTCTTGCTCAGAAATAAGCAGCAGATCCTTTACTTATTGGTAATAAAAGCAGTAAAACAGAAATGTGAAAATGCAGTTACAACGAAAAGTACAAGCCAAAGTTGTCAATATATTCATCCTTCAAGTATTATCTTTTTGTCTACATCTCACATATAACTTATTCTGGCCTCGGTGGTAGAAGAACTCCTCTGCTGTCAAAAACCAATCGAAGCATAAAAGAGCCATGTCTCTGGAGTCATTGGGGAGTTTTTGGAGGCATTCAATGGTTAAATAATGTCTGATTTGTCTTTTAAGTATAGAACGAAACAAAAAGGACAGCAGTGTCAGCAACGTGTTTTACAAGAGAAGGAAAAGTACTCAGTGTGCTGATTATCTCCTGTGAAAGTGTTTCACTGTTCCACTTACCGCTTTGTTAAAGTGGAGCTAATTTCAACACATTCATATGTTATTTTGTAGTGCTGGAACAAGCACTTAGATCCTGTACTCGAGTAAAAGTAGCAATACTGCCGTGCGAAGGTACGCCACGTTAAAGACCCTCGTTCAAAGTCTTACTCCAGTAAAAGTACACAATGGATTTAAAATAGATTTAAAAGTAGAAATGACTCATTAAGCAGCAGAACGGCCTCCAGCAGTGGCATAAAGCATCACATGTTCCTCTGAAATATGTTCAAGAAGAGATGCAGCATAAAGCACAAGATAGACATGCTTAACTAAAGTGTAAGTACTTCTGAATTGTACACAAGAACGTTTAAATAAAGCTAAAAATAAATAAATAAATCTAACAGCAAGGGTACAGGTAAAACACATTTTACAAATTATGTAATAATGTAATGTTAAAATACTGTAAAATGGTGAAAATATATGTTTAAATTGTCTAATTATACAGTCACACATTGTTAATTAACAAATTGCTATTTGTAAAAATACATAGTTTGGACAATATGTACAGTTCTGGCCTTTTTTTTTTTTTTTTTTTTTTTACAGTCCGCATGTAAATTATTGCTTTTCTTGTGATATGACTAGATATGTGTACTAGATATCTGTAAGGAACACAGGAAAAATCTTTAAAATAACAGTTTAAATTACTTTTTAAAGTTACCATTCTGTCCTTAATACACATATTTGTTTCTACAGCTAATATCTGTAAAAAATAATATTTTGGTTGTTTTTTTTCCCCTCAATCCTAATAAACATAGTTCTTCTATCAAACAATGGCAAAAAAAAAGTTCTTTGCTGATTTAGATACAGTAACATTTTATTCGAATTTTTCAGTCGCACATTGTTAAAAAAAAAAATCAATTAACTATTTGTAAAAATACAGATTTCTGATGCAGAAATTGTATATAGTGTTTCTTTGCCTAATTTTATACAGTTAACATTTAAATTATTACTTTTATTATGTGATTTTAATATATCTATAATAGACACTTAAAAATATATTTACCATTTAAAAAAAATCTTTAATATACATCATTTTCTTTCAGATGACATCTGGAGAGATTTTTTGGTTATTTAAGTACAGTAAAAAAAAAAGATTGAATAACAATAAATTGTGAAAAATATTACAGTTAAAAACCTTTATTTATTTATTTTTTACAGTGTACTCGAGCAAGTGTTGTTTGTATTCTGTGGCCAGTCTGTCTTCAGCTACATGAAAGTCGCAGCAGCAAAAAAAAAAAACAGAAAAAACAACCCGTAGAAATAATTTGTCAGTACCGACTGACACAGAGCACACACACACACTGGCTGACTGTTTCACACACAAACACACACACTGAGGATAATCCAACGCACCCCTGGAAATAACTCCCCCACACAGATACACAAACACACACACTGCTGGGTGGGTAAGTCAATAACATCCCAGTGTTCTGCCGACCGCGGGCCTCCAACCTGTGCTACATTGACCCGAAGAAATTCTCAGTGTGGCTCTCGGTGACGGGGATTTACGGCTCCTTGACTCCGACGGGAGCAGCCCCGGCCCCTGCAGCCTCCCCGTTGCCCCTCCAGGTGCCCCGGCTTCCTCCCTGCATTAAGTAACAGGCAGCGTCTCCTGACAGCCCTCAAACACAGCAGTCAAGGCTCCACTGGCGTTACAACAGCGAGTCCCCATCTGCACCCGGAAAAAACACAGAAATGGAATTTCCTTGATCTATTTATTAATTCATGAAAAGGCACAAACAAGGACAAATCTTGCGGAGCGCTTGTCCTTGTTTTGCGGCTGTTCATGAATGAGTAAACAGAAACAAAAAGAAAATTCTTGTCTCAGTTCGGGCTCCTGCTGGAGTATTAGGCGTCGGGTCAATCAATTCAGCGTCGATTTTAATAAATTGGCCCAAGGGCGGCTTGGATTGCGGTTATCACTGTGGAATTTTTATGAAGATGGATTTTACAGGTTATCAAAAGGGAATTTTCTGCAAAATGATTCAAGTAGTACACAAGCGAATTTGTCACGCAAGTCGGAGCAGATAAACCGCCAAAAAATCACAAAAACAAACACCAGGCAACGTGCATCCTAACGGGGGATAATAACATTTGGAACCTTGTAAAATAGGATTTATTTCCATCCTTTACTTTGCATGTGTGACTGTCTACCTGTGCAGATCGTCCACACAGAATCAAATTCATGGACTTTCCTCAATGAGACGCTCAATCGGCCACATTTACATCCACTGAAAAGGAAATTATAATCTAACACATGAATACCACACCACTTGTCGCACGCCATTTGTACGCTTTAAAACTTTGTGCGTGTCCCTCAACACTGTTTAGTTTCCATAGACTTCCATTGTGAAGACATGTTGTGGCTCAGGTGGTACAGCGGGTTGTCTGCTAGCCACAAGGTTGTTGGTTCGATCCCCTCCACAGTCAAAGTGTCCTCGGGCAAGACGCTGAACCTGAAGTTGCTCCCGATGGCAGGCAGGCAGCTTGCATGGCAGCTCCATTATAAAAGCATCTGCTAAATGAAATAGTAAATTATCACCAACATGCACCATTTAAATGCCGTTACGATAACATCAGGCTGGACAGACAGTGGTTTTTTTTACAGGTGCAATGCTGACGTATGTGAAGCAGTTCACATGTTTTAATAACTTCTTTATTTCCAAAGAGTAGTAACATAACTTAAAAGATTAAACCTTCCTTGACTTTATCGATTGCCTGTGGGCTGATTTCTACGTAGATGACATGGGATGATTTTTTTTAAAACATTTATTCTTTCCATCAATGCCTCTCTCCAGCTTCCCTACAGAGCCAACAGTGTCAAACATTAGCCAACAGGAACTTAGAAATGAGGACGAGCAAGTGACTGGCCTCCTACACAACAAACTCCACAAAAAACAAAACAAAACTAGTAAAGTTCATCTGGCCAAACGGAAATATAATCAAAAACAAACATCGGCGGTGCATTCACAGATTCACGGAGGGATAAATCAGAGAAAAAAAACTATAATAAACATGATTAGTCACACAATAATCTTGCGTAACCGGACCTATTCCTGTGTCCTGTTTTGGCGCCGCACCAGCGCTGGAGAGTCAAATATAGTTTCCAGTCCAACTATGATAACGATGTAATTTTAGTTACCTCTTCTGTCAACGAGATGCAGGTCAGTTGGGTTCAGTCTTGTTTATCTCACATCTCTGCTTTGGCCGATGCCCAGGATCTTCACTGCTGCCCACCTACAGAGTGTGAACACAAGCAACAGGATGCTGAATGCAATTCACTTAACAGCCACCGGCTTAATTACTAGCAAAGGTTGTCCTAACGTTATACAGAGAACCTTTAAGCTAAGGGAGCAGTTTTAACCTTTCCTCCATCTTAAAGCATCCATTTGACTTCTGCTCACCACTAAACGATGAACTTTTATTTCCTTCATGCATTAATTTATTAATTTTCTGCAAACTTAGTGATCCTTTTGTTATTGATTTTTGCCAATAGGCAATGTTCTAATGAATTTTTCCAACAATGTTTGTATCCAGCAGCACGTGAACTCTTACCCAGGGCCAGTTATACTCTGATCTGTACAAACTGCTCCTGAGAAACCTCACAAACACCTACAGCGAATGTGCAATGTTTTCTCCAGAAGAAACTGAACTGTTTTAATCTAATTGTTTGTTATCACAATTTCACTCCTATTCATTTCACACTAAATTGTTGCACAACTTTAAAAACAGTGTCGTTGCAAAGTATTGGTGATGCAGACGGCGCTCTGCTCCGTTAATGAGACCCATAATGGAAGTGAAGAAAGTCCTCTCAGGTATCTCAGGCGCTACTTTAATGAATTAAATAACACGTAATCCAAAAGCCTCCTCCTGCACTGCAGTGTGATAAACACAGGCAGCGAGACAGACAACACTCATTTCTTAATATGCATATGTGAGTGACTGTGCTAATGTGCTGCTGTGTGTGTTTCCCCAGAGGGAGACGGCGGGCGACGCATCTGAGTCGGCTCTGTTGAAATGCATCGAGCTGTGCTGCGGCAACGTTCGTGACATGAGAGCCAGAAACCCCAAAGTGGTCGAGATCCCCTTCAACTCCACCAACAAGTACCAGGTACTGCACGGGATTAACGTCACGTCTCGACTTTGTGCTACAAGTTTGCATTGTTCATTTTTGTGCAATCTAATTATTTTTTTTTTATATGATTTTTGGTACATTGAATTTGTTGTTGACCAGCCAGAGCACACATTCATTCCTAATTCTGCTCAAAAACAGAGAAGAATTTACAGTAAAGAAACATGAGTTACCAAAAAGTGACTGAAGTGAAATCCATTTTCAGAATCGTGACTGATTCCTCTAAAAATTTACATTTTTATTGATCTTGTTTTCGTTGGTTTTAATTTTCTATTATTGCATCATTGCCATTTGTGTTCCTCGTTTACATGTCTTTAACTAATTGTTCATTGTTTAACAAACCTTTCACGTTTGCACACACATTTCCAATACCTCCACATATTTATATTGACGTGCCAGCTCTGAGTCATGCATGTTCATCTTCTAACCTTTGTCCATCTCGGGAAGGCAGCCAGAGCACGCCTCCTCTTTCACATCGATGCCCTGCTTTACATTCATACTGTTGCACACATTCATACTTGGAAGCTGCCCAGAAACCCGCAAACACAGCATAGTTGGGCACAGAAAAAACAATTTAAAGCTCCGTACAATGTGCTGTATTTATGTTCACATCTGGATTATGAACTGGTTTTGCTTGGGCTGCTCAGACGATGCTCAGTCGCTGCTTTTCAGTGCACAGAAATCTCATTTGTGTGGGAAAAGTCCCAGCCAAGAGACTTACGGCGAAGAATTGAAAATCTGTTTGTTGCCGTTCTTTTCGCCAGTCGCTGAACAGAATGACTTCATATTTCCATGACAGAATTGGCTGAGGTGAAACAAGATTTGTGTGGGGTTAGGTGAGAAGACCTATTGTTGGAATCCCTTAATTAAAACGTCTTTTTAAAAAGCTCTTGGCCGGCTTCCTCGACAATATCAGAGTTTGGAAAGCTAGTTCTCATTAGATTACCCTTCTGAACCCCAGAACCTGCCAGCAGGTTTGAAATCGGTGCTATCTTTTAGAAAATTGCCAAAATTACACAATTTATCAGAGCTGCAGATTGTCGGCAGATTTTTCCATCTTCTGACTGCTCTTACGCTCATCATGCATAATATCTGATTCTGTTGGAAAAGCCTAAAATCATGTTATTTCTTCTAAATCACCTACTAGAGCCCACAAAGACTGAAAATTCTGCCCTCCTTCATTCAAGACTGACTCAGCTGCCACCAGCAGTCATGTGACAGAAATTCAGGGAGTTTTCAGCTGAACTGCAGACTGTGTTTGCACCGAGCGGAGGTT